AAGTTGTCCTAAATATATATCAACTGGAAACATAGCCATACAAAAAATAAAATTAATTCAAGTAAACCTGAACACCGCTATCTAATGTGTGGTATATTCTAAAGACATAATGAATTGCAAAGGAATACTAAACTTATTTAGCAGGTTAATTGTTAATGGTGGTATTGGTTTAATAATTCTGAAAGTCCTTTGTTAATATGGCAGGATAAAGCAAATGAGTTATGACATCGATATTGTTGGGAACCAGAGTTCTCAACATGAGAGAGCCCAAATGCAAAAGTGAAATCTAGAACTTTGGATTTTCAAAGTGTTGGGACTTTGAATTGGCAATATCAGAACGAACTTCCAATATGCCTGCGTGTGTATACACACACACACACACACACACACACACACATATCGTCAGTCTATAACATTTAGTTGTGCAATGAACAAAAACTTGCTCAAAGAATAATGGAGAGATATTAAAAACACAGAATCCAGTTTGAGACCTCCCACTGGCAAAATGTGTAACTTTGAACATCAGAAGAACAATGACAGTAAATGATTTTAAGTGATTTAATAAAAACAAAATTCAATCCATAGTGTAACTCCACAAATTAAAAGAGGCAAACTGGTGACAGTTCTTTACAAAAGAAGGTCAATAAATTCAGCAGAATAATTTAATCAGAAAATCACTGTACCCAAGAATTGTAATAATTAATTCTAGAAGGATCACCAATGGAAGCTAAACCATTGGGTGAAAATCTGTTGGGAAATAGGACATTTATTCCATCTCAAAGCATCATTTGACATACCAATTATTTTTTCTTTACAAAAAGGGAAAGATAGCTTTACAGCGGAGAGATCTGGTAGATACCACCTTAATAAAACAAAAGCAGTTTTCCTCACCAATCATAGGAAAAATGAACAATATGTGCACCCTAATGTGGTACAATGAGATCTATATAACATCACCTATGTAATCATGAAAAAAACTACTAAGAAAATTCAGATTGTAGAATGTTCTAGAAATATATCCTCAAAAGTGTGTCATAAAAGAAAAAGTAGGACGTCTTATTCTAGATAGAAGAACAGGACAGAAAGGTGATGTCAGCATCGTGGCAGCGTAAGACATCCCTCCTCCCTACACACATTTAGTAATAAAAATTTAGCATCCATTCAGGGACCAGAAAAAATTACCTAAGAAAGAAGAGCAAAAAAGAAGATACCAGACTTTCTGATTTCACACTATACTAAAAAGTCATAGTAATTAAAACAGTATGGTACTGACATAAAATTAGACACACAGACTATAGAACAGAATCAAGAGCCCAGAAACAAATCCAGGTGTATATGTCCAATTAATATTAAGCAATGCAGTGAAGAATACTTAATGGGGAAAAAAAGAATACTTAATTGGAAAAAGCATATAAAAACAGGATATCTATATGCAGAGGAATGAAATTGGACCTCTGTCTAATACCACTCAAAAATTAACTTTAAATGGATGAAAATCTTAAACTTAAGAATGGGAAACATAAAATTCCTAGCAGAAAGCATTGAGAAAATGCTTCTTCCCTATTTTTTTAAGATTTTTATTTATTTATTTGACAGAGAGAAAGACAGTGAGAGAGTGAACACAAGCAAGGGGAGTAGGAGAGGGAGAAGCAGGCTTCCCACTGAGCAGGGAGCCCAATGCGGGGCTTGATCCCAGGACCCTGGGATCACAATCCGAGCCCAAGGCAGATGCTTAATGACTGAGCCATGCAGGCACCCTGAGAAAATGTTTCTTGACATTGGTCTCAGCAACTACTTTTTTTGGATAAGACACAAATAATAACAACAACACAAAATACAGTAAAAAAAAAAAAGCAATTAATAACAAGAACAACAAAATTATTAAATGGGACTACATCAAATAAAAAAATCTCTGCACAGCAAGAATGAACAAAACGAAAAGGTAACATACAGGATGGAAGGAAATATTTGTAAATCATACATCTCATAAGGGTTAATATCCAAAATATTTAAAGAAGTCATACAACCCCAATAGGAAAAAAAACAAACAATGGAGAGTGAGAACTGAATAGACTTTTTTCCAAATAAGACATACAAATGGCCACAGGTACATGAAAAGATGCTCAAAGTCACTAATCATCAGGAAAATGCAGATCAAAACCACAAGGAGGTACCATTTCACATCTGTTAGAATAGCTATCATCACAAAGATAAGAGGTAGTATCTGGGTACCTCAGTTGGTTAAGCCCGAGGATCGAGTCCCACATTGGGCTCCTGGCTGGGCAGGGAGTCTGCTTCACCCTCTGTCCCTCCCCCTTTCTCATTCTCTCTCTGTCTCGTAAATAAATAAAATCTTAAAAAAAAAAAAAGACAAGAAATAATAAATGCTGGGGAGGATGTGGAACAAAGGCAACACCTGCACACTACTGGTGGGAATGGAAATTGGTTCAGCCACTGTGGAAAACACTATGGAGGTTCATCAAACAATTAAAAATAGGGGTGCGTGGGTGGCTCAGTTAGTTAAGTGTCCAACTCTTGATTTTTGGCTCAGGTCATGATCTCAGGGTCCTGAGATCAAGCCCCACATTGGACTCCATGCTCAGTGGTGAATCTGCTTGAGATTCGTTCCCTGTGCCCCTCCCACACCCTCTTTCTCCCTAAAAATAAATAAATAAACCTTAAAAAAAAAAAAAAAAAAAAACTAAAAATAGACTACTATATAATCCAGCAATCCCTTTCTGGATATATCTTCAAAGGAAATTAAAATAAGATCTCAAAGATACCTGCACTCCCATGTTCACTACATCATTATTCACAAGAGCCAAGATATGTAAACAACCTAGATACATACATATCCTGGAATATTATTCAGCCATGAGAAAGAAGGAAGTCCTGCCATTTGCAATAACATGGATGGACCTTGAGGGCATGATGCTAAGTGAAGTAAGTCAGACAAATATTGTATGATATCACTTATATGTGGAATCTAAGAAAGCTGAATTTATAGAAACAGAGTGTAGAGTGGTGGTTACCAGGGGCTAAAGGGGAAGTGGAAGGAGATAGAGAGATGTCAGTCAAATGATACAAACTTTCAGTTATAAGGTGAGTAAGTTCTAGGGATATTACGTATGACATGGTAATTATAGTTAACAATACATAGTATATACTTAGAAGTTGCTAAGTGAGTAAATCTTAAGTGTTCTTACCACAAAAAAGAAATGGCATTATGTGACATGATAGAGGTGTTAGCTAATGTTATGATGGTAATAATTTTGCAATATATTAGTTTATAAAATCAATACTTTTGTACATTTTATGCTTACATAATGCTATCCGTCAATTATATCTCAATAACCTGGAGGAAAAAGTTTGCACTTGAAAATTAATTAATTAACTAATATTTGATTAAATCTATTTAGTTGTATATACATCTGAATGCTTTAAATTTATTTTTAGGTTTTTATTTAAATACCAGTTAGTTAACATATAGTGTACTATTAGTTTCTGGTGTACAATTTAGTGATTCCACACTTATATACAACACCAGGTGCTTATCACAACACACATACTCCTTCATCCCAATCACCTATTTAACCCATTCCTATCCAACTCCCCTCTGGTAACCATCAGTTTGTTCTCTATAGTTAAGAGTCTGTTGCTTGGTTTGCTGCTCTCTTTTTTTACCCCTGTGATCATTTGTTTTGTTTCTTAAATTGCACATATTAATAAAATCATATGGTAGTTGTCTTTCTCTGACTGACTTATTTTGCTTAGCATTATAATCTCTAGCTCCAACCATGTCATTGCAAATGGCCAGATTTCATTCTTTTTTGTGGCTGAGTAATATTCCATTATATATATATACCACATCCTCTTTACCCATTCGTCAACTGATGGACATTTGGGCCCTTTCCATAATTTGGTTACTGCTGATAATGCTAATGTAAACATCAGGGTGCATGTATCCCTTCAAATTAGAATGCTTTAGACAGCAATCAGAGGTCGTATTAGGCTGGAACACTAAGTACTATACTATAATTAGTCAGTAATTTTAATGAAGTAGTTGTTAAATGAATACTGGCTATATAATCCTGCCAAGAGTAACTTGGTTTTATCAAAATTTAACTTCAGTTTTTATACATAATGATGTTAAATCTTATATAGAACTCGAGTAAATGTGTTACCTGTATGCACACTAATATTACTATTGACATCTTTTAATAAAAAAAAATGTTTTGAACTCTTTTCCTCATAATGAGGCCAAAAGAACTTAGTTCCAAGTCATGTGTGCTCTAACATTACTGTCAGAAATGTCTTTCTAGGTTTTTCAGTAGCTTCCAGGATAAATATAAGCCACTTATAGCTATTCAAGATTTAACTGTGATCTACATCACCAGGCTTATCTGTGTCATTCTCTAGTGTTTGGTCTTTATTCTAGCCATAAGAGAATTCCAGCAGTTCCTAAACTGCGCCATGCAATTGTTTGCTTTCCAGCTTGCTAAAGGCTATTTTCTCTATCCAAATTACTCTTTCTTTTTTGTTCTTCATGAAGATATTTTCTAGCCTTCTGGTCAACTATCACTTCTCCCAGGAAGCCATCCCTGACTCTTGTTTATTATTGATACTCCTGTTCTGTGTGCCCACAGCAGATACTCTAAGCCCACTTCGGTTAATTTGTTAATCTCAACTGTTACAATTGGCTTACTTTTCTAGAAGCTCAAAATTAGAGGCTGTATCTTATTTATACCAAACATAATGTGGTTCCTGGATACTTATAATTTACTATAATTTAGTTTTTTAGAAGTACACTAATTGATCTGCTATGCAGGGTATACAGCATTAATGAAAGGGATCTATTGATACTAATCAGGGAAAAGAAAAGAATGAAATTTATCTGGAAAACACTCCATCAGCAAGAACATAATTTACAAATTATTTACTGTTCTTGAACTTATCTTAAAATTGATGCAGGACAAATTATTTGCTTTGATCACTACTACCTTGCAATTGGTCAAGAAGCACAACAGCTACGTGGTGCCGCGCTTGAATTAGTTCAAGATGCAAATCCATCATGAAATTATTTGGTGTGACTGGTTTGCAAATGTCTCCATCTATATCCTGGGCATACTTTGGAAGGATTGAAGTAAAAATAAAAAAGAAATACAGTTATCAAAACATGCTATTTTTAGTATGTCTTTAGCTAAAAATAGCTCTCTCCTATTATTACTCAAGTTATCATTTTACTCTAAGCCTTTAAATTCTGCTCACTGCTCAACTCTTTGCAATCTGGTTCATTAATAAACCTATTTTCAAATTCACCAGTGGTCTCTTCAACAACAAATTTAAAGACTCCTCACTCTCCTTGATTTCTTCTGGGAAGAAGGGAACAGACCTCTGGCCAATGAGACCAAAGCCACCACAAATCATGCTTTACTCACCTACTTGTAGGGCCAGCCCTCTTCCTAGCTAAGTAACATGGACTTCAATCTCATGTAAGAGTTTCCCATTTACCTTGGCATAGCAATGGTCAATCACTGATGATCCATTTGGTAAAGCAGTTAACATGCAATTCAAATTTATTCCGTCAATTGCTTTGTCAAGGAGTTCATAAGCCAAAAATAACTGTTCCACAGGTTTCTTCTAAAGTAATTTTATAAATAAAACAAAAATAACATTTAAGGGAAAATCATATATAACATTTTCAAATTTCTTTCAATAATAATTCAAACCAAGTAAAAAATTTAAGTAGTCTATTCAATAGCAACAATATTAAATTTTTTACTAAGTGTATTTGTCTTTGTTTAATGTGGAATACTACTGATAAAAGTGAAATAATAGGGACGCCTGGGTGGCTCAGTGGGTTAAGCCGCTGCCTTCAGCTCAGGTCATGATCTCAGGGTCCTGGGATCGAGTCCCACGTCAGGCTCTCTGCTCAGCAGGGAGCCTGCTTCCCTCTCTCTCTCTCTCTCTCTCTGCCTGCCTCTCCGTCTACTTGTGATCTCTGTCAAATAAATAAATAAAATCTTTAAAAAAAAAAGTGAAATAATAAATACAATTCATCATTTTTCCAAGGATAAATTAAGCTTTTTGTAAACATGTTTATATCTTCCTTTTATGGTTTTCAAAATTCTGACTGTACCAAATGTAGAGGTAATTTTTTAAAATATAACTCACAAAATTTATCATTTTCCCACACTTCATTTTGAAAGTTAATTTTTTTTAAATCTCAGAGCTGGATATCTAGATGCAGAGGCAAACAAATCCAATGGTGTATACCATGATTTTCAAAAACTAAATACCTTTTAATTCTAATTATTCTCACAGAGAGACAAATAGAGAGAATAATACAAAGAGCATCCAGCTTTGTTCAAACTTTAAAATTTCCCGTATTTCTCCAGTAAACTTAGGAAATAAAGCAAACACATACATGCAGAGAACTGAAATCCTCTATGGAACTGTCCACATGACAATCTTTTTCTCGGCTCCTAAAGGAAGCCACTGTGCTTTGGTTTTTACCATTCTTCTGTGTGTTTTTAAATTTTCACTACATGTGTATATATCTATTAACCATATGCAATATTACTTACATACTTTTTAATATCATCAGAAAATTTTGCAGTTCACTGTATACACTCAAACCTGTGTTGTTGCAACTTTTTCATGCTGGAGTTATGTAACTCAATGTGTCAGAGTTTGGTTAGCAACACAGAACTCGAGATACTCTTAAGCAGAAAGAGATTTGACAGAGTTAGAGATGTCTATCTCTTCTTAAGCAGAAGGGATTTGATACACAGAGTTAGAGGAAGGCCGGGGGGAAGGGAAGAAAGCTGCCAGTGACAATATGGCTGCATGCACAAGCCTCTGTGAATCTTGGAATCAAGGAGGTGGCTGACAACACCACCAAGTGTCTGCCACACGGAGTCAGGTGAATTCAAGAGCTTTCTCAGCACGGCTGGTAAATGTTCTTCCATCTGCCACTGCCAAATAAGAACTCTGTCTTCCCTTCATTATAAATTCCTGCAAATGCCCCTCATTGGAAGACTAACCTAGAACTACATGGAAATGAGAGGCTGGGAAGTGCAGTTCCAGCTTCCCTCCTATGACATGAAGGTGACTAAAGAAGGGAAGGGCAATGATGCCAAGCTGACTCTAGTTCAAGCCCACACTAATTCATTCATCCTCATGCCCCCATGAATGGTGCGATGTGGAGAAATACGGCACAATATATTTATCCACTCTTCTACCAATGGACATTTAGACTGCTATTCCTAAAAATGTGTAATGCATTATACTAGTCTGTGGATCAAGACAAGGCTGGTATTTTCATTACAGTCCTTATGTCTTTTTTTCTGCTTTCTTTCTCAGATGACTATCTAAGACCTAGGACATGTTGAACAGAAGAATGACAGATATCCTATTTTGTTACCTCAGTATAAAGGGATTGCTTTTAATCTTTTCCTACTGGTATAAAATTCATTACAGGTCTTTGAATGATACCCTTTATGGGATATAGAAGTTCTCCTCCATTCCTGACTTAAGAGTTATTTTTTAAAGATGGTTGTTGAGAATGCCTGGGTGGCTCAGTTGGTTAAGTGTCTGCCTTTGGCTCAAGTCATGATCCCAGGGTCCTGGGATCGAGTCCCATGTCAGGCTCCAGGCTCAGCAGGGAGTCTGCTTCTTCCTCTGAGCCTCCCCACTCTCATGCTCTCTCTCTCTCTCTCTCTCTCTCTGAAATAAATAAAGAAAATCTTTAAAAAAATAAAAAATTTTTTAAAAAGATGGTTGTTGAATTTTGTCAAATGCTTTTGTTGCACCTTTTTATCTAGTAAGGTAGTTGTATTTCTTCCTTTCATCTGCTACTGTGGCATATTGCATTATATTTTCTAATGTTAAATCACCCCTGAGTTCCTGGAATATACACAATTTGATGACACACATCCATTTAAAGATATATAGATATACATCTCCATTCAAGAATCACAGGCTCAGGGAGGTTCTCATCCAACTCAAGTAATGTAAATTCAAATAACAGACCTACATGAAGGCAGGCTCATGATTACAAATCATTAGGAAGAAAGACTTTCTCCCACCCACCCACCTCCAGTACCCATGTGGAGATACCGCCCCACACAAATAGGCACATTGGTTTTTTTCTGGTCTCCCTTCTCTAGAATGTGGACTATTGGAGGTCGTAATTTTAATGTGTAAGTCTCAGTTCCAAACCCCCATCTTTCCTGTACCCAAGCTTCACATCTTGTCACTGGATAGCTGTTAATCTGAGCTTTTTTCTAACTAAGCCCATCAACCAACTGCAGCATCTACTCATAAAATGACCATTCAAGTTTTCAGTTCCCCTTTCTATTTCAGCCCCTGGAATTTATCTCACTTTCTTGTGAGCTCCACAATGTGCCTGAGGATATTTGTTCAATTCTGTCCAAAATTTTGATGTACTTTGTAGCAACAGGGTTTTCAGCTCAACTGGTTTGCCCTTTTGCCAGAAACAGAAGTCTCTAAGGATGCCTTTTTAACAATAAAAGATTTCAAAGACCCTCCCCCACACACACCTATATTCTACCATTAACATCATCACCATCACTATCACCTTTGTTATCTTTGTCATTATCATGCAAACATTTAAATAATGTTCCAGACACTCGGCTAAATGCTTTACATGGACTAATTTTTTAACTGCACTACGCTATGAGGTAGATACCTGTTAATTGCTGTAATTTTATAATATATTTATTGAAAGAACTAGCTGCTATGTATTCAGCAAAACTTTTAAATAAGCTTTGAATGTGATAACAATAAACACCTCATTTTTTAAAATAGTTGCATGTATATATGCAGGATATATAATTTATCCCACCTACAATCTCTGATAGGGGAGCATATGGATTTTGGATTCTCCTTACAATAAATTCTCACTCCTTTTCTCCACTTCAGTCCCCTCCAGATGAGTCTGAGACCCTAAATTAAGAGTCAGTGCTCTACATAAAACGTAAGAGAAAAACTGAGTAGCTGCCATGTGTCAGGTACTGGTGTCTACAACATTACCAATACTTCATTTAGATTACATAACTTAAATAATACCAGTAGAATAGGTTCTATTATTACAATTTTACAGATGAAGACATTTATATTCAAACAGATGAAATAATCTGTTTAAGATAACATAGTCAATATTAGAGTTAAGATTCAACTCTGGATCTTCCAACACCAACGGTTGAGCCCTTAGGACACATCAACAAACCACCTGTACTACATCTACCATGAGCCACAGTACAGTTGGCAGGTTGCCTATCGCACAATGTTAAGGGGTACCATTCATGCTGTTATCCTCATAGACTTGTATATTTATTTTGGCAATTTCCCAGAAGATGGCAATAAATCATATCAAGGAAAGGGTACATTTTTCTAATTTAAATAAGAGTAGCAGGGGCGCCTGGGTGGCTCAGTGGGTTAAAGCCTCTGCCTTCGGCTCAGGTCATGATCTCAGGGTCCTGGGATTGAGCCCCGCATCGGGCTCTCTGCTCAGCAGGGAGCCTGCTTCCCTTCCTCTCTCTCTGCCTGCCTCTCTGCCTACTTGTGATCTCTGTCTGTCAAATAAATAAAATCTTTAAAAAAAAAAAAAAGAGTAGCAATAGTTAGTAAACAGTCTTCAGCTTTCTCATTTGGGAAAACTGCCACCTTCTATGAAACTCATTTTATTTAATGGCTTTAACTGCCAGAAATTTTACCTGAAGCCAAAATCTAGCACTTTGTAACTTCTACTACTATTCTTATTCCTGCCCTATGAAGCCTCAGAGAGTAAGTGCTGACCCACTAAGTCAGGGATTCTGAAATTCTAGTTTTTTTAAGAATCTACCTGGGGGGGAGGGGCGCCTGGGTGGTTCAGTCACTTAAGTGTCTGCCTTGGGCTCAGGTCATGATCCTGGGGTCTTGGGATTGAGCCCCACATAGGAAACCTCCTTCTCCCTCTCCCTCTGTCATTCCCACTGCTTGTTCTCTCTCTCCCTCTCTCTCATTCTCTTTCTCAAATAAATAAATAAAAGAATCTATTGGGGGAATTTTAAGAGGAAAATACCTGGAATCATAAACTTTTAAGACCCCACAATTGAAATTATGATTCAATATGCCTAAGTGGGAAATAGGAAGCTGTATATTTAGCAAGCGCTATAAGTGATCCCTGGAAAAACCATTGGCAGACAGTTATTATGCCTCAATTTCTTGTGAATTTCAAACCTACTGTTCCCAATTTAAGATTTCTCAACTCTAGCTCTCTTAAGACACAATACTACATAAAGAACTCAAAATTGCATTTCCTAAACCCTAAATTAGAAGAAAATAAATTCAGAATGATCCCCCAGTCCTCAAGTATATTCATGATATTTAACTGGTACCCAGTTATTAAGACTTGCATATTTTATGCATTAGAAAAATATCTTTCACACAAGTATCCTGAAGACATTTTTTTTTTAAATCAAAAGGCAACATAGCATAGTAACTAAATGCCTGGACATTGAAGGCAACACGTCTAATCAAATCCACTTACTATGCGACCTTGAATAAGTTAGATGTAATAGCAAAAATCATCACTATGACTACCACAAATCAACTGAAGTGAATCTCACAAACACAACACAGAGATAAAAAGCAAGCTGCAGAAGAATACACACACTATGACACCATTTAAAAACAACACTTCCTACTTCCTGGGAATACACACATATGTAATAAAAGTATACCTGGAATTTATAATATATTTAGAATAACAGTTACTGCTAGGCAGGAGGAAAGGTGATATGATCAAAGGGGTTAATGGAGAAGTTTCAAGTCTACTAATAAGGTACTGTTTCTTAAGGGGATATGGGTCTCCCTTATAACATTCTTTACAATTTTATGACATATATTTTAAATTGATTTTTCAGAGAAAATATAGCAATTCTGAGTATTAACATTAGCAACAGGAAAAGTGCTGATGAAATAATGTTAGGAAAGAACATCAGAATGCTATGCTAAAAAATATAAAAAAGACTAGAAGGGAATATAAAAATAATATTTCAGTCCATATAGTAAAATTGCAGATTTTTATTTTTTATATATATCAAAATGTCCTCTAATGTTAATACAACTTTTATAATTTAAAATTATAGTTTTTTAATTAATCAGGCAAACAAAAATACAAATCCGTGGCTTCCTCTCTAGAAAAAGTATTTTTCAACAGTAGTCCACGAGCACTAGTGTCCTAAGTAGCTATTCCGTGATGGATAAAATGGGTTTTATTTTCAAATAATGGAATATATGGTATTCTATATCTTCTTGAAAAACCATAATGCTCATAAGCAAATGAATGCCTCTGAGAAGTCTTATAGTAAAGAATCTGTTGTGTTTAATCCAAAGATACTGGACTCTGACATCCTTTTCTGAAGCATATTAGCATCACATAGAACTGACTTGATAAAATGCTAGTTCTTGTCTATAAATTAAAGTGTTTATACCATATATGACATGGTTCCCTAGACTCCCATTCAGATCTATACAACAACACAGTCTTTGATGGACAGAAATAATTCAAATATTGTAAGAAAAACATAACCAATAAGAGAAATAGCTATTTATCTCCCTCACCCCCTTTCTTCTCTTAATGTAACAATCACTAAGAACTTGCCCAATGCAAGGGACTGTTCTAAGTGTATTTTCAACAGGTAATAACTCATTGAATCTGTCAGAGGAATATGCTGAGCAGGATCTCTCTGCTTTATGAGTGTATGAATCACAACACATTCAAAATACCAATGGTAATGTAACTACAAATCCTTTTAAGATATTTACCAGGTTATTTTTAAAGCTAAGTGGGATTTTTTTTTCTACAGTAAAAGCAAAAGGTAGAAAATGTCCCCTGTAGTTTTCAATGTATGTAGAAACTATAAATTCTCAAATATTAAATATTCAAAATTATTTCTATAATTAACCATTACATATTTACAAAGTTAGTATTGTTTGAAAATCTAAATTCCTAGGTTTTTTTTAAGATTTTTTTTTAATGTATTTATTTGACAGAGAGAGATCACGAGCAGGCAGGCAGAGAGAGAGAAAAGAGGAAGCAGACTCCCCACTGAGCAGGGAGCCCGATGCGGGACTCGATCCCAGGACCCTGAGATCATGACCTGAGCTGAAGGCAGAGGCTTTAACCCCCTGAGCCACTCAGGTGCCCTAAATTCCTGTTTTTAACTGTATTTTCTAAAATATTTTTGTAGGATATCTGCGTGCTTCAGTTGGTTAAGCATCTGCCTTCACCTCAGGACATGATCCTGGGTTCCTGGGATCAAATCCGGTATTGGGCTCCCTGCTCAGCAGGAAATCTTCTCCCTCTGCCTGCCACTCCCCCTGCTTGTGCTGTCTCTCTCTCTGACAAATAAATAAATAAATATCTTTAAAAAAATAAAATATTTTTGCAATACCTTTAATATTGGAAGAATTTCTGTGTTCCCTCTCGAAATCCCAAGGGAGTCACCAGTTCCTTTCCTTAAAGGTATCTCTGTGGGGGAAAAGAAAGGAAAAGAAGGAAGGAAGGAGCAGAAGGGGAAGGAAAGGAGGAGAAGAAAGAGGAGGAGGAAAAAAAGGGTTAAAAGTAGGAAAAAGAGGAGTGAGAAGGAGAAAAGAAACAAAGAGAAAGAAGGAAAGACCAGAGGAAAGAGGAGAAAAGAAAAAATGTAAACATAGCAGTGAATCATAATCCTAAAAAATGTTATGCCAAATTTTTTGATTTTTGGTTACTTTTTGATTACTCATGATTTTAGAAATGATTCAACACTTAGAAATTGACCGAATACAAAATTATTTCTTCCATATAATTATATTTTGTCTTTATATAAATTAATTTAAAATCATCTTGCAGTACAACAAACAAAATTAAAAATCTTGATTATTAACAAGGTAATATTATGGTAAAGAGACTGGTCTTCCTACACAGTCTATAGAGTCCATTGAAAAGCATTCAAAAGGGGGTGCCTGGGTGGCTCAGTTGGTTAAGCGACTACTTTCAGCTCAGGTCATGGACCCGGAGTCCCAGGATCAAGTCCTGTGTCGGTTTCCCAGCTCCACGGGGAGCCTGCTTCTTCCTCTGACCTTCTCCCCTCTCATTTTCTCTCTCACTCTCTCTCCCTCAAATAAATAAATAAAATCTTTAAAAAACAAGAAAAGAAAAGAAAAAAGAAAAGCATTCAAAAAACAGTGTAAGAGCCTTATGAATTTGGACAAATATCAGAAAAGGCTGGTTTGAGTGAAAGGAATATAAATTATAAATATATGGCAATGCTATCTTCCTATTTTAAAATGTATTCTATAATTTAAATTAAATAATCCATTACTTAGTAAATAGTCCAATAAATATTTTGAATCAGACTGCCATAATTAATATATAAGAATGACTTGTACTTTGTGTTTTATGTGCCAATAAGATGATGGTAATAATAATACTGGAAAAGTTATAAGAATTTATACATCTAAATGGGGATAACCCCTCACTACATAAACTTGGATTTTTCTATTTTTAATGGATCACACTCCAATATCAATTAATTCTTTAGAGGTGAAACACTTTAGCAAAGAATCAACAAATTGCATTTACTTAATTTGTAATTAAACAGAGTATAAATACAACAAAACAATAGTCTCCCAAAAGTAATTAATAAGCAAAACAAAATTGAATAAGAAATAGACAAAAAAAAAAAAAAAATCATTGGGCTTTTTGCTTTCAATAATAGGTAATCTGGAAAAATTCTCCTGCCTAGAGACCACTAGAAAAGCTGGAAAAAAACTGTTTCTTCATATTTAAGTAAAAAAGATCATGAAAATGGGAACTTGAGCTATGTTCCCAACTGAGGACTTTTGTCAATTCTGAAACAGAAAGCTAAGAAGCCAAGTGATGCTTCTGACAGCCCTGAGAACTAAAGCAACAGAGATTAGGATCCAGGGCCACCAAGAGTGAGAAGCCAGAAGGGGCTGCATCCCAGGAGTTAGGGTAAATGGAAAATAAGTCAACAAAAGAGCATCTCAGCTTCAAATTATCTTAATCTCTCAAATTGAACTAATGGGATCCTGGAGTAGTAGTGTCTTCATACATTCAGTAAAAACAAGCATAAACCTTCTCTGGAAGGTTTTAACCTCATTAACCTCATCTAAGCCTTCAAGTTATTTCTATAATATATTTAGCAAATATAATGTCTACCACACAACCAAAAATAGCCAGAGTAACCAAATAGATGATGAAGCAGTTCTTCACTTAGGAACTCAATATAGTAAGTGCAGAAGAAATGACAGAAGTTTGAAAACCTTTCTGGATTCTCACTCCCACTCCTTCAATGACAGATAAAAGTTGTATAAATATCTCCACCTCCCAGCTCTCTAGGTTCTACACAGTCTCCTACAGGTCTCTCATAGGAATAACCCCTAAACCTATAAGAGTAACCTTCTCTGTAACTTACCGCATTTTGTATTGTCTTCCTTTCCTTGACTGTCTTAGTTCTCCACACTACTGCCCTGTTTCCCTAGATAATATCCCAAATAAAACACTGGACTCAACAACTTGTCTCAGAATCTACATCTGGGGGGGAAAAACCTAGGAAAAATGTCAGACTGACAATAACTGAACTCACGTAAGTCTTTACAACACAACATGTGCGATAACTAGGCATTATATGCTTCCTGATTCAACACAGTAAACAGCAGCACCACCTATGAAGTATTCTTACAAATTTAGAAGATATTGACAGGAATTCTTTTTGAAGATATCACGGGAATCTAATCAAGCCTCTAGAGCCAACTACCAGGCAGAGAAACAAGTTAATTCCACAAAGACATAAGAAGCCAAATCCAGATTGTGGGGAATCCTACAAGATGGCAAATTTCTTCAAAAAATAAATGGCTTGAAAGGGGGAGGAAGAAAGGAACTCTTATAGATTAGAAAGAGAGACTCAAGAAAAATGTAAGAAAGTAAAATGTATGTATGGGCTTATTTGGATCCTGATTAGAACAAACCAACTTAAGATATTTTTAATATAGTCAGTGACATAGGATTTTTCCCCTGATTTTGTATGGTAATAATGGCATTTTAGTTCTGTAAAACAAAACAAAATCTTTATCTGTTACACAAATACATAAACCAACAGACACACACACACGCACACACATGTGTGCATGCACACACACAAACACATTGGGCTATTTGCTGGTGAAATGACATGACATCTGTTTTAAAACACTCCAGAGGAAAACATGTGTTCCAGGAAGGAATGAAATAAGATTGGCAAAATGTTCATAATATTCGCACTGCATAATAGGTACATGGTAAGTTATTTCATCTCTCTCTATTTGAAATTCTGCAAATATATAAATTTTAAAAAAGGAAAAGGCATTTTAAGACAGGACATTTCAAAAAAAATAGGACTTGAGTGTATTAGATAGCCAGAGACCTTTAACCAGTAGTTCCCAAACTTTGATGTGTATCAAAATCACCAGATAAACTAATAAAGACTAGAAAGGCCCAGGCTAGATGAAGTAGGATAGGATCTGGGCCTTTGTATTTTTAATAAGTTCCCAAGTGATACTGATGCCAATCAAAATTTGAGAACCACGGCTCTAAAATTCCATCGGTTAAGCCACACTCAAATGAGAACAGCAGAGCCAGATCAATAAATCTCTGGGAAAACAAGTACTACAATAATTACTTTACTACAAAGTCCTTCAAATGTCATACACACTGTGTAAGAGGGGTAAAATAGGAAAGTAAACACCCACTAACCACACTCCCACCTTACTCCCTACATATGGGTTACTTTTTAAAACAGATGTTTCAGGGGTTCAACCACATGCTGAAGAAAGAAGGTCAGAGCATAAGACTGTCCTTTGGGAGAAGGAACTTTCTAAAAGAAGAAGAATTGCTGGCAGAAAGGGATTGGGGCAGAGAGAGTAAGGAGTGGGTGGGAAATGAGAACAAAAATAAAGGAAGATAAGAGGAAAAGGGGAAAGGAAAAGTAGAAACAAAATAAATGAAGACAACAAATTTTAAAAGGAGGGAATCAGAAGACAGGAGGAAATTTAAGAGGAGATAAAATGTAAAACACTGATCCATTCAAAAGACATTTATTTAAGTTCCCAGTCTGTATGGGGCAGTGTGGTAGGTACCAAAAATATAACGGCAACCAAAACGTGCTCTCTTTCTTCAAGCAGCATACACTCTATCGGGAAATGGCAAAGGAGGAAAGGCAATAAAGGGGAAAAAGTAAAAAGAAAGGATGGGGAAGAAGAAGTTCACTTCTTCACTCATGAGGTGAAAGTGGTGAGGAATGGAGAAGGGGAATATATGAGTGAGGGGAAGAAAAAAGACACTTTTCTGCCACGGAACCATAGAATAACCTCTTTTTAACATTCACTTAATTAAACCTCTACTATTTCTATCCCTGGTTATAAATCACCAAGGAAGCACAGTGCTGAAATGCCTAGTTTCCATTAACAGTAGTTATTCTGTATTCCAACTTATACTTATACATTCATATGCACATCTGTAATTAGTAACTTCATACTTTTTCATTCATTATATTACCTAGAGATTTTTTAAATTTTCTTCGTGGGTTTCCTAATAACTCCAATATTTCACTTAATCGCAATGTGACCTCTGCTACCACCACAATATCAATATCTTCCATTTTATAGCAGTGAATTACTTCATTTATCTGCCACAGAAGATAAACCCACTGAAAAGAGAAAATCAATTAAAAGTTTATTACATTATAAAAAAAAAGTTTATTACATTATAGAGTAATTTTTCTAAACTTAGGACTTCCTTGAAGTCATCATCTTCTAAACATATGAAAATGTTAGACAGGTAAACACCCCCTTACTAGTACATCTTAATTATAAACATCAATGGTCCTAATCAATCTGTTTATATAAACTCATAAAGAAGATCCACCTGCGCTTATAATCTGCATATCTATAGCCATAATGGAAAATTTATCATCTTTTAACGTATCAGTAAAGATTATCAGTATCCTCAAAGTTCTCATTCTCCCTTCACAAAGCAGCTGCTATGATCACTACCAAAGTCTTCCAAAACAGTGAAGTTACGGTAAGCAGGTGTTTCAGGCTCTATGTTAGGTGCCTTCAAAGCTGTCTATCATGCCTATACCCCCAAAGTCTAGCACATAAAATTAGCCATCACACTTTGGGAACTAAAATGAGGAAACAACATTACTTTTTCATAGTACATGGTAAAACCAAGCCCATGTACCCAATGTACAACACATCAAGTATGTTACTGTTAAAATGTTTCCTCCTAATGTTCCCAGGTTATAATATTCACACCCACTCAATTTTCTCCTTTCCACAAAAGAGCTCTTTGAAATAATCTAAAGATATGATTGCAGAAAAAAACCCTAAAATTCCTTATTTATTTGTATTTTCTATTATTAACCTCCTCAATGAACTTATCCAAGTTTGTGTAACCTTAAATGCACTATATTTATTCTTTCCTTAAAAACCTGAAATACCTTCCCACTCCCCAAAACTAAATTGCAGAAGTACAGAGAATATACTTAGAGAAAGGCTGAGTCAGCACCACATTTAAAGAATGGTAGTTATGCAGGTGGATAAATAGGGAAAATTTAGATTTGAAATGTGCATCACAACTTAAAGCAAGTAAAAGGAAACAAAAAGGAATACTTTATTACTACTGATTTTCTGGGTGAATTTTGCATAGTCATTTCTGGCCATATTGATCTTCTGAATTCCTAATTTGCATTTCTGCCATAGGAACATTAACATGTCCACAACAATTTCTTTATCAGGCTGAACATTCTGAAAACAAAAATGATAAAGTAAATTGGTAAGAATAATAAGATACACATATAAATACAGTTATATAGCATTTAACATGTGCCAAGGAACATTATAAGAGCTTTATATACCTACGGACTGAATGTTTGTGTCTATCCAAAATTTCTGTGTTGAAATTCTAACTCCCAGTGTGATAATATTTGGAGGTGGTGCCTCCCAACTTGAGGTGAAGGTAAAGCCCTCAAGAGTGAAAATACTACCCTTATAAAAGGGACCCCAGAGTCTGTCACTCTCTTTCTGCCAAGTGAGAACACAAGGCAAAGACAGCCATCTATGAACCAGGAGGTGAACCCTCACCAGGCACCAAATCTGCTGGTGCCTTGATCTTAGATTTCTCAGCCTCCAGAACTATGAGAAATAAGTGGCCCCTATTTAAGCCACCCTGCTTATGGTATTTTTGTTATGGTAGCCCAAACAGACTTAAGACTTATAACAATTTATTTAATCTTCATGACAACCTTATGAAGTGAGTACTATTACTATCATCCCCACTTTCCAGAAGAGCAAACTGAAGTACAAGATTAAGTGGTTTTTCCCAAGATGAAATAAATAGAAAGTAGCAAAGCCAGGATTCAAACCCAAGCAGTCTAGTTCCGGAGTCTACACTCCAATGAATGCTCTAGGTCACTTCTGCCTCTCTAAAAAGAAATGTTCCAAACATTTTTAGGCAAGCTATGTAAGCTAATTAGCTCCAACCAAATTTGAAAGTTTTATATACTACTTCCTTTTTAAATTTTCTGTGTTAAAATAATAAAGAATGGGGAAGGGGATGAATTAGTAAGGGGAGAGGAAGTAGGGAGCTGAAAAAGGATATAAACAAGGAGGAAAGAGAGACATGAAGAAACCAACAGAGCATCACACTGGGCATCAATAGATACCATGAGTATAATGAATACATCTCCTTTCAAATCAGTTATTTGGTTCTTTCCAAAAGAAAATATAATGATATCTGAACTAGAAAGATAATGAGTTTATGATTAAAATACACCAAAACCTTAAACTCCTTTAGGGCAGCTCTAAGACTTTTTTCTTTTTTTAAAGATTTTATTTATTTATTTGTCAGAGAGAGAGAGGGAGAGAGAGAGCAAGCACAGGCAGACAGAATGGCAGGCAGAGGCAGAGGGAGAAGCAGGCTCCCTGATGAGCAAGGAGCCCGATGTGGGACTCGATCCCAGGACACTGGGATCATGACCTGAGCCGAAGGCAGCTGCTTAACCAACTGAGCCACCCAGGCGTCCCCAGCTCTAAGACTTAATGTGCATATGTAGTACCTTGTATGGGACCATAACAGAGATCAATAAATGTTTACTGAATTGAATTGAATGAACTAAGACATACATGATTTTTTTTTTTAAGTTGGTAATAAAAACTCCTTGCCCTGGGGCTCCTGGGTGGCTCAGTCAGTTGGGCCTCCCACTCTTGGTCTCAGCTCAGGTCTTGATCTCAGGGTTGTGAGTTCAAGCCCTGCACTGGGCTCCACACTGGGAGTGGAGCCTACTTAAAAAAAAAAAAAATTCGGGGGCGCCTGGGTGGCTCAATGGGTTAAAGCCTCTGCCTTCAGCTTAGGTCATGATCCCAGGGTCCTGGGATCGAGCCCTACATCAGGCTCTCTGTTCCGCAGGGAGCCTGCTTCCCTCCTCCCCTCTCTCTGCCTGCCTCTCTGCCTACTTGTGATCTCTGTCTGTCAAATAAATAAATAAAATCTTTAAAAAAATGCATTTAATACACCTAATCTACTGAACATCATAGCCTAGCGTCGCCTATCTGAAATATGCTCAAAACACTTACATTAGCCTACAGTAGGACAAAGGTCCCTAACACAATAACTGTCTATTGCTATTTATTGAATATTGTGCTGAAAGTGAAAACCAGAATAGTTGTGTGTCTGTCATCCACCCTCATGATCATGTAGCTGATTGGGAGCTGTGGCTGCTGCTGCCCAGCATCATGAGACAGTATCATACTGCATACTGCCAGCCAGGGAAAAGATCAAAGTTCACATTTTAAAGTATGGTTTCCAGTGAATGTGTATTGCTTTTCACCGTTGTAAAACTGAAAAATCTTAGGTTGAATCATCCTAAGACAGGGACCATCTATATTTCCTGTATCCAATTACATACAATATCAAAAAACAGGCAAAATTAACCCAATGAGTAAAAAGTCAAGACAGTGAGTACCCTTGGTAGGGTTAGTAACTGGAAAGGAACACAGGGGGAGCTACTGGGTGCTGGACATGTTCTATTTCTTGAACTGGATGTGTTTCGTTTATGAAAACTCATTGAGCTATACACTAATGAAATGTTTTTCATTATATATTATAGATCAATATAAAGTTTAAAAAAAAAAAGTAAGATGCAAGGGCACCTGGGTGGTTCACTTGTTTAAGCATCAGACTCTTAATTTTGGCTCAGGTCATGATCTCAGGGTCATGAGATGGAGCTGCCAGTCAGGCTCTGTGCTCAGTGTGGAGTCTGCTTGTCCCTCTCCCTCTGCCCCTCTCCCAACTCATCCCCTCTCTCTCTCTTTCAAATGAATAAATGAATAAAATCTTTTAAAAAACAAACAAAAAGTAAGATTCAAAGTAATGAATTTCTAAATATTTCTATTTTGGGATATAAACATATATCATGTATCAAATAGCATTATTAAAAAAGATATATCAAGTGCCTGGGTGGCACAATGGGTTAAGCCTGCAACTCTTTGTTTTGGCTGAAGTCATGATCTCAGGATCCTGAGGTCACCAGCATTGGGATCTGCACTCAACATCAGGGACATACAAATAAAAACCACAATCAGACACCACCTCACACCTGTCAGAATGACCAAAATTAACAACACTGAAACAACAGATGCTAGAGAGGATGTGGAGAACTGCTGGTGGGAATTCAGTCACTGTGGAAAACAGTATAGAGGTTCCTCAAAAAGTTAGAAATAGAGCTACCCTATGACCCAGCAATTACACTACTGGGTATATACCCAAAGCATACAAAATACTGATTCTAAGGGGCACATGCACCCTAATGTTTACAGCAGCACTATCAACAATACCCAAACTATGGAGAGAGCCCAAGTGTCTATCAACAGAGGAATGGATAAAGAAGATGTGGTACATATGTACAAAGGAATATTACTTAGCCACCAAAAAAGAAGGAAATCTTGCCATTTGCAATGACATGGATGGAGTAGGGTGTATTATACTGGGTGAAATAAGTCAATCAGAGAAAGACAAATACCATATGACTTCACTTATATGTGGAATTTAAGAAAAAAAAAACAGATGAACATAGGGGAAAGAAGAAAAAAAAAAGGAGAGAGGGAGATAAACCATAAGAGACCCTCAACTATGGAGAACAAACTAAGGGTTGATGGAGGGGAGGAGAGCGGGGGATGGGCTAAATGGGTGAGGGGTATCAAGGAGCACAGTTGTGATGAACGTTGGGTGTTATCTGTAAGTGATGAATCACTAAATTCTAGTCCTGAAACCAATATTACACTATATGTTAACTAACTAGAATTTAAATAAAAACTTAAAACAACAACAAAAAAAAGATTTTGATTTAGCTCTCCTACTATAATCATTATATTTGCTATCAAATACCTTTCTTTTAAAAATTAAATACCTGTCACAAATATTTAATAAACCCAGAAGAAATAAAAAACATTAAACAGTAGAACTTCTCAAGTCCCTTACTGTGGTTTCACTTTTCTGAACAAAATTTAATAAATGCTCTATCATTGTGGTTTTCAAACTTTTTTTAGAATTAGTAAAGCCAAATTTTCAAATGAAATTCTATCTCAGCATTGTATATAAACCTAAAAAAAACAGGTTAGGGTGTTACTACCCAAAGCTGAGCTCCTGAGGGAACTTCAGCAAAGCCCTGGGGATCCCTGGAATTCAGTTTTAACACCAGTGATGTTCTAGTTACTTAGACATTCATACCCACAAATCATCATCTCTACTGGCCATTGAGTGCCAAGTGAATCCAAATAATAACCAAGCACTATACTCATGGACTAGAAAGCAGTATTTCATTAAGAATGTTAACTCTAACTGAAATGACTGCCTCATTTCCTTCATTATTTTTTTTAAAGATTTTATTTATTTATTTGAGAGAAAGAGACAAAAAATGAGAGAGAGAGAGAGAGCATGAGAGGAGAGAGGTCAGCGGGAGAAACAGACTCCCTGGCAAGCAGAGAGCCCAACGTGGGACTCGATCCCGAGACTCCGGGACCATGACCTGAGCTGAAGGTAGTCGCCCAACCAACTGAGCCACCCAGGTGCCCTCATTTCCTTCATTATTAGAAATATAGCTAGCCTAGGAATTTTCCAAAAAGGAACAAAATGGATTATTATCAAAACAGACTTAAAATCAGAAGTCAGATTATGACTCAACCCTTTATTTAATGATTAAACAATATAGAATTTTGGCAAGGTGCAATTCCTGTGATATTTTAAATCTGGCTTTAAATTAGGTACAATAACCTTCTTCAACACTATTACAAAGTTTCCAAAAAAGCAATTTCACCTGGGGAGAGGCACAGACACAAGAGTACAAGGTTGCTGCCAAATGGAAAATGTCTTCTGAATATCCACAAGTCTTCACACAAGAATCTAATTCATAAAATAGAGAAAAAAATGAAACAAAAAAATTTACAAAATTTCAAATGGAAAAGGCATAGGAACACTGAAATTCTACAAAATGACATAAATGGTATCTAGGCAAATATCATGTCACTAAGATATTTCTATATGAAAACTAATCTAAGTGGGCTCTAATGCAATTAAAAGAGAGTATTATCATTAGTCTGCAATCTGTATGTCAACTACATTCAAAATAGAATTGAAAAGGCTTAAAATATTAAAACACATGTAAAATATGGCAGTTGAAATAAAATAACAAAAATATCTATTCAAAAACCACTAGGAAAAATACATGTATCATTGTCTGGTAATTGAACTGTCTTGAAATGCCTTAAGAACATTATAAAACATAAAAAAAAAAACACCTCCATGGGATTAAATTATTCTCGCCAGTCTAAATATAGAGGGTGCAGATTTTCAGTTATATACACAGTAACTTTCAAGACTTAAAATGTTGAAATGAAAAACTGCTCCTACTGAAAAAAGATGGGAGACCACCAAATCTTGCCTTGCCAAAGTGCACTGATGGCTTTTGATTTACTGCCCTGCCTGCTGATTTCTCATTTATCAACAAGGTAGCAACTAAATGGAGCCTTCATCTACTCAAAATCATTACATAGAATAAAACCCAGCATCCTTACAAGGTCTAGGAGCCTGCAGGATCTGGCACCCAGCTATTTCTCTGCCTGCATTTCCTACCACATTCTCAAATTCCACCAGCACCAACAGTGCACTCCAGACACATGTGCTTCCTTGCCATTCCTTCAACAACCAAGCACACTTCTGCCTCAGGGCCTTTGCACTTCCTGTTTCCTCTGCCTTGAATATTCTTTCTCACTTCACCTAGAGAGTATATTTTATCAGATGAAATTTTAAGTTTTCAAAAAGGTAAATAAATACTCACCGTGAAAAATAATTTTCTTAACATAAATTTGAGCTGATTGTCCTTCTTTATAGTTTTCCATGGGAAAGACCAAACCTTTGTTTCTCTTTATGTTGATTAAAGGTTCTATTGCAACAAGAAGAATTAAATCCTTTTCTGCTTTCTTGGACTCTGGATCATCTTGCCTCTAAGAGAAGTTTATCCCATAAGTTAATTAATAATTCAAAGCCATCTTAACAAAATAAAAACAAATCATTGGTTTTGTATATGTTACCTGGAGAAAATCAATAAGTTGCCCAGCTAAAGAGTCAAATAAACTCCATTCCTCATAAGTAAAAGCCAATTTTACAAATTTCACAGCAGCATCTATAGAAATAACATTTTTTCCTTTTACAGTAAGTTGCAAAAGAGATGTTTGTGGAAAATCAAGCATTCCATCTGCACCAGTATTTGACACTAGAAAAGGAAAGAGAGAGGTTTGAATGTCATTCATGCAAAGACATATTTACTGAATATTAACTAGCAGATACTTCTAGGCACTAGGGAAACAAGGGAAAGAAGCAAATACAATCCCTGCCTTCACAGAGCTTATACTCTAATGGAGAAACAAGAAATCTTGGCAGGGAAATACAGGGTGTTATGGGGACAAATAAGAAGGGCATCAAACATGGATTTATGGTAGGAGTGGTCAAGGATTCCAGCCAAAGAAACATGGAATCTCAAACACAGAGAATTAGCAAGAGTTAACTAGTCAAGTAGGCAGCTAGATATTACAAATTGAAAGCTCGGGAAACATCTATAATAGGGACACAGCTTTAGAGTCATCATTACATATCCATAGTAAACAACAGAAGCAGCCACGGGCAATGTACAGCTGTCTAGGATAGCAGAATTAGGACCCCCAACATGTAAGAGAAGGGTAGAGAGAGAAAAGGCTGCAGAGAAGAGTGTTTTTCTAAACTCCTTTCTAGGAGTATTCAATAGTAACAAATATTAGAGTGTAAGGGAAGAAAAGCACTGAGAAGAGACCCCTGGATTGAACAAAAAGGAAGTTGTCCATGACATTCTCCTCAGAGGGCTGAGGGCAGAGGGCTGTAGACTGTATAAGTAAGAAGGAAAGAATCTAGAACAGTGGAAATGGACAATTCCTGACTATAAAAAGAGAAAGAAATACAGGGAGGAAGCTGAAAGAGGACATGGGAGAAAGGGACAGTTTGGAAATGTTAGGCTAAAAGACTTCAAAAGAAGAGAAGGAACACCCTTTCCATTTTAATGAGAGACAGCAGAAAGGATGGGTATAAGTGAAGGTAAATTTTCAAGTGTGGATGAAGGAAACCTCATCTGAGATCATTTTCTTCATGGAGAGGAGATAAGCCCAAGCTGTGGCAGAGAAATCCCCTGCCTACAGATCAGCATGCACATGTGGGGATGCACACACACAGAAACACAGACAGACACACACACACCCCCTAAACTCACTTAAAAGTACACATGCTAAGGTCTAGGCTTTCACCTCCCTTTTCAGGTAGATATTGTGGACAAGTTAGCTGACTGCTCCAGAGCAACAGAAGGTAAGCTCATGAAAAAATAAAGTTAAGAACACAAACACCTTGAAACAAAGACCACTAATGAAAACATCTTTTACCAGGGGAAGCAGAAAAATAGGAAAGCTTAGTAAGTACCCTCTCAAGGAAATAAGAGAGGATTTTACAAACATGAAGCAAGAATAAATTGCTGTGAAAAAGAATCAAATAGAGATTAGGTATAAATTATTTTATTGTTGAAACAAAGAATTCAATAGATGAATGGAATAGAATAGCAAGAACCAAAGAACAAATTAGTAACCTAGAAAGTTGGATTGAGAAACCTTCCCAGAAGGCAACAGAAAGGAATAAAGAGATTAAAATAATAAAATAGGGATGTTTGGGTGGCTCAGTCAGTTAAGCATCTGCCTTCAGCTCAGGTCATGGTCCCAGGGTCCTAGGATTGAGTCCCATATCAGGCTCCCTGCTTAGCAGGGAGCCTGCTTCTCCTTCTGCCTGCTGCTCCCCGTTTGTGTGCTCTCTCTCTCTCTCTAACAAATAAAATGAGTAAAATCTTAAATAAATAGATAAATAAGTAAATAGATAAATGAATAAATAAGATACAGAAAGTGGATGTGTTAACATCTGTCTTTTAGGGCCCTCAGAGAATTATTTTTTAAGATTTTATTTATTTGAGAGAGAGAGCAAAAGAGCACAAGCAGGGGTATGGCAGAGAGAGAGGGAGAAGCACGCTCCCCACTGAGCAGGGAAACTGATGTGGGGTTCCATCCAAGATCATGACCTGAGCCGAAGGCAGATACTTAACTGACTGAGCCACTCAGGCGCCTCAGAGAATGTTTTTAAATATTTATTTGTTTGTTTGTTTGTTTATGAGAGAAGGGGGGATGGGCAGAGGGAGAGAATCTTCAAGCAGACTCCCTGCTGAACGCAGAGCCAGACACAGGGCTCCATCTCATGACCCATGAGATCCTGAGCCAAAATCGAGAGATGCCTAAATGATGGAGCCACCTTGGTGCCCTGAGAATTTTTAAAAAGAAAACATAAGGGGAAGGAACAAAGAAGTAACATAAAAAATGAAAGAAAGATGTAAGACCTCAAAGTACCTCCTGTATTACCAAACCTCCCCTAGACCAAGTATAACAATATGTAAGAACATCATAGGAAAAGACACTGTAAAAGCTAAAACTGTAAAACAATAAGGTTTAAACCTTGAGAGACTTCTCAACACCATATATAAGACTACAGAGAAGTGTCTTTAAAATTCTAATAGAAACTAACTTCTAAGCAAAATATTCTATCTAGCTAAATTATTTCAAAGCTCTTATAGTTTGTTTTTGGGCAAAAAGAAATGAATTTAGATAGAAGTGGTGAAAAATGGGAAAGATGAAGGAAAAAGCTTAATAGTGTATGCACTGTCTTATAAAACAATGACCAGGACTGGTATCTAGAACATACAACAAAGAACTCTCAAAATTCAATATATAAAAGAAGCGATCCAGTTAGAAAATGGGCAAAAGACACTAAAGAGAAACAGAATATGAAGGGGGCAAATAAATACATGAAAAGATGTTCAGCATCATTATCTATTAGGGAAAAGCCACAATGACATATCACTAGACACCTCTCAGAATAGCTAAAAGAAATAGTGAGGGGACGCCTGGGTGGCTCAGTTGGTTAAGCAGCTGCCTTCGGCTCAGGTCATGATCCCAGTGTCCTGGGATCGAGTCCCACATCGGGCTCCTTGTTCTGTGCGGAGCCTGATTCTCCCTCTGCCTCTGCCTGCCACTCTGTCTGCCTGTGCTCGCTCTTTCTCTCTCTGACAAATAAATAAATAAAATCTTTAAAAAAAAAAAAAGAAATAGTGAGAACATCAAATATTGTCGAGGATATTATAAAACTGGATCATTCATACATCGTGAGTAGGAATGTAAAATGGTACAGTCAACCTGGAAAACAATATGGCAGTTTTCCACAAAACAACATACACACTTACCCAATAATTATGCTCTTGAGCATTTATCCCAGAGAAGTAAAAATGCATGTGCACACAAAGAACTGTACTCAAATGTTTGTAACAGCTGTACCCTAAGAGCCAAAAACTGGAAAGAACTCAAATGTCCTTCAGCGGGTAAACAGTCGAACAAATGGTGACACACCCATACCCTAGACTACTACTCAGCAGTAAGAAGTGAACTATTTTAACGCACACAACTTGGATACATCTCAAATTATACTGAGTAAGAAAACACATGTATAGTCACTTCATTTATGGCAAAAGGATACTATAGTCAATGAGGAAAGGAAGGTCTCTTCAATAAACAGTGCTGTGTCAGCTAGATGTTATATGGAAATAAATCTTGATCTCTACCTCATACCAACAAAAACAAAATTGAGACCTAATGTGAGAGGAAAAATAATAAAGCTTCTAGAAGAAAACATTGGAATATATCTTTATGACTTTACAGTACAGAGATTTCTCAAATATGACACAAAAGTAGTTAACTATAAAGGCTATACTGATAGAGTAGACTACATTAAAATCAAGAATTCCTATTCCTTAACAGATATAATCAAAAGAATGAACAGGAAAGCCACCAAGTGGGAAAAGGTATTCGTAATATATATATATTCAACAAAGAACTTATATCCAGAATCTATAAAGTATTCTGACAAACCAATAAGAAAAATGCAAATAGCTCTATAGAAAAATTGACAAAAGATGGTTCACAAACTGGCCCCCAACCACAGAGGGCAAAGAGAGACTGAAAATGAGGCAGACCACTCCAGATTGGTAAGTGGTAGTTTTAATAAAGCAAAGGAGGGGCACCTGGGTGGCTCAGTGGGTTAAAGTCTCTGCCTTCAGCTCAGGTCATGATCCCAGGGTCCTGGGATTGAGCCCCGCATCGGGCTCTCTGCTCAGCAGGGAGCCTGCTTCCCTTCCCCTCTCTCTCTCTGCCTGCCTCTCTTCTACAGAAGATTTAACTGGGTTCAGTCATGTATACCATCCGCCTGGTCTCAACAACACCTTACTCTCACAAGGCTACATCCTTGAAACCACTGCTAGTATAAAAATAGTAGGTAGGACATACACACCAAAGACTGGGTGGGGTGGAAGATGGGGAGTATAAGGAGCCTTCAAATGCCTGGGTCCAGCTCAAGAACTAACTGGTGGTCATATCATCTTGATGACCTCCTCCAACGAAGCTGAACAGGCACTTTGAAAAATAGGATATCCAAATGGTGAAGAAATGTATGAAAAAGTACCCAACTTCATTAGTTGAAGTTCATCAGAGAAATGTACATTAAATCCTGAATTTACTGAATTCACACCAGAATGGACAAATGAAAAGACAAATCTTACATCTAAGTGTCCAAATTTAGAGCAATTAGAACTCTCATAAAATGTTGCTGGTGGTATAAACTGGTTAAAAAAGAAATCATTCTGGAAAACAGTATCTGCTACAGCAAAATACACACATACCCTATGCTGTATCAATTCCACACCAACAGAAATGCAAAGCAGATGATGTTTACCACTTCCCTTCCAGCAACTTACAAAACCAGTTGACCAAAAAATATCAGTAGGAATAGAGAAGATTTAACTATGTGATTCACAAACTTTACCTAATGAACTTATCCATAAAGCGATGTACCCAACAATGAAAGAATATATAGTCTTTTCAAGTACATACAGACTATTTACCAAAACTGGCAAGTTAGGCCATAAACCACAACTTAACAATTTCAACAGCTTCAAAGAATATCAAATTGAATATATGTTCTGACCACAATATAAGTATGCTAGAGATCAATACAGAAAGACAATTAGCGTATCTCCATGTTTTTTGACTTGTGACTCAGATATCAAAGAAAAAAACACAACGGGAATTTGAAAATATTCTTAACTAAATGATAATGAAGATATGATGAATCAAAATTTCAGGGATATAGCTACAGTTGCATTTAGAGAGAAATGTCTTAATATGCATATGTTAAGTAAGGATAAATCCTGAAAAATCAATGATCTAAGCTTCCAAGTCAATAACTTTTTAAAAATCAGCAAAGTAAATCCAAGAGAGTAGGATAAGAGAAATAATAAAGAGCAAAAACTAATAATATACAATAGAGAGGATAACACTGCTCATGGAAAAAGACTAATGAAACTGGTAGACTCCTGATGAAACTGATGAGAGAAAAAGGCAAGCTGACCAATATTAGGGATGAAAAAGAGAAGCCCAGATACCTACAGATCTTATTAACATTAAGAAGATCATAATGAAATATTATAAACAATTTTATGAAAATTTGAAAATATTGGATCAAAAATCAAATTTTTTTCAAGTCCTATTTAACAAACTAATAGAAGATATTTTTAATGAAAAGAAAGCCTAAATCATTTTATATGTATGGGAAATTTTTAATCCATAGTTAAAAACCTTTGCACAAAGAAAATTCCAACTCCAAAGGCCTTCACCAGTAAATTCAATCAAACATGTAAGAAATAACATCAGTCTGACACAAAATCTTTCAGATAAAAGAGAAAGAGAGTGTATGTACTTCTCAACTCTTTATATGAGCTCAATATGACCTTGAAAGCAAAACCTAAAAAGGACACTACAAGAAAGGAAAATCTGTCTCATGAACAGAAGCAAAATAATAAACATTAGCAAACAAAATCAATTATATATAAAAAGGATAATGCTTACTTCCACATTAGATTTATTCCAAAAATATAGTGGTTAACAATTAGATAAGCAATCACTGTAATTTGTCACATTAACAGAAATAAACTAGAAATCCATTCAATCAACTCAATAAATCCAGAAAAGGCTTTTGATGAAATTCAACAACTATTCATAATTAAAAACAAACAAAACTCAGCAAACCAAGAATAACAGCAACTTCCTTAATCTGGACAAAAAGGTATTTTAAAAAATCCTTCAGCAAACATCAAAATTAATGGTAAAATGTCAAAAGCTTTCTATGTGAGACCATAGATGAGACAAGAATATCCGCTATTACCACTTCCATTTCATGTTTTATTGGAGATCTTATCCAATGCAATAAGCCAAGAATTGCAAGAAAGAAGAAATTAAAAGATTAAGAACTGGAAAGAGAGAAATACAATAGTCACTATTCACAGGTAATGATTATACACCTAAGCAAATCCAAAAGAAAATCTCATAAATTATTTAAATTATTATTTGTGTTTAGTAAGATTGCTGAATTTAAGATTAAAAAAACTGGGTATCATTTTCTTTTTTTTTTTAAGATTTTATTTATTTATTTAACAGAGAGAGAGCGATCACAAGTAGGCAGAGAGGCAGACAGAGAGAGAGGGAAGCAGGCTCCCTGCTGAGCAGAGAGCCCGATGCAGGGCTCGATCCCAGGACCCCGAGATCATGACCTGAGCTGAAGACAGAGGCTTAACCCACTGAGCCACCCAGGCGCCCCTGGATATCATTTTCTTATATGTGGAATACCATACTAAAATTTTTGTCTTTCATGTTATACCATAATACATTATTTTAACAAATTATTTACTTATTAAAAGTTCTTTTCCTGCCATAAACAGTTCTGAGACAACATCACGAACTTCTACTTCATCTGTAACAATAGGTCCAGTTTGTAGTGTGCGCCTATTTGAGTCAGAAAGAGCTTCTAAGACGGCCAGAAACCGGGATGCAGTGCTATCCAACATCTCATCCAACAACCGCTCTGTGACAGTACGTGGCCATGGCAACTGGAATAAAAAAAAAACAAAAAACAAAAAAACTACAGTCCACTTCTTTAGAGTTCTACAGTGTTTAATATTATAAGCAAAGATAAGCAAGGCATATTTCATTAATGCTAAAAGAGAGAGTGGCTGGCCTGTCAATGAGATGGCTACTTTTATGGTGTTCATTTCCAAGGTGTTTCTCCAGACTCCATTAAAGTTGATGTCATGACACCATTACATCAAAGACTGCTATTGCTTTATGTCCATGTTTCCAAGGCAGCATTAAAAGGCTGTTTATTGGGGCGCCTGGGTGGCTCAGTGGGTTAAGGCCTCGGCCTTCAGCTCAGGTCATGATCCCAGGGTCCTGGGATCAAGCCCTGCATCAGGCTCTCTGCTTTGCGGACAGCCTGCTTCCTCCTCTCTCTGCCTGCCTCCCTGCCTACTTGTGATCTCTCTCTCTGTCAAATAAATAAATAAAATCTTTAAGAAAAAATTTTTTTAAAAAGGCTGTTTATTACTGTCTTTTTATTAGGGCAACATCAATCTCCATATGCTTTGTGTTACCTTAATTACAGTCTTCAGGAACTGATATTCAAACTTCGGTTGCCTAGGAATCTCTCAGGAGTGCTTTTTAGATTCACAGACCAAATCTTGAGATTCAGTGGGTCTAGGTGGGGCACTTTTCATAAGCACCACAGGAAATTCTAATGCAGAAGATCCTTAAACCCAAATTTGAAACAATATTTTACAATATAAACAGCTGATCTTGTGGTAGTTAATGAAAGAATTGACCAGCTATACACTAATATGCTAATGGCTGTTAGAGCCCTGTATGAATTCCCAGCCACTGTACGTTGTATCATCCCAGAATGATTTCCCCTCCTGCCTATGACTTGCCACTACACTATTCTTCAGACAACAAATCTGTTCTCTGTATTTAGATTACCAGTAAATAAAAGAAGTAGTTCTGGTCAACTTTTCTAGAATCCATGTCCAGTTAGAAGATACCTGTCATATTCCCCATGATTCCCCTGTTCCTCTCCATCTTGGGGCAAAGTCAGAAAAACAGAAAAACATAAACAGGGTTAAAACTGCTTTGGAGTATTTTTCCCCAAACAACCAACTTCTCTACTCATTAGCTTCTATGACTTTTCAATCCATAGGTTAACTTACAGGTTAAAAACCTCAATAAACGGGGCACCTGGGTGGCTTAGTGGGTTGGAGCCTCTGCCTTTGGCTCGGGTCATGATCCCAGGATGCTGGGATTGAGCCCCGCGTCGCGCTCTCTGCTCAGCAGGGAGCCTGCTTCCTCCTCTCTCTCTCTCTCTCTGCCTGCCTCTCAGCCTGCTTGTGATCTCTGTCTGTCAGGTAAGTGGATGGAGTCTTTAAAAAAAAAAAAAAAAAAAAAAACTCAATAAACTTGAACTTCATGCCCTAGCCTCTTTACTAACAGACGTAAGGGTTTTTCTAAGATTTTTACTGTATGTTAAAACAGAGCTTTCTAAAATTATACTTGAAAGCATTATAAATTTTCTAATAATTAAAAGTATTCAAAACGAACTTATATAAACCAAAGATTAGACTTAAATTGCTTTTAGAAATACCATAGAAAAACTAACAAAAAGTGAAATAGAATATTTATCAAAGCTGTAGATGAATACCAAGTAAAAGATTTTAAAACATAAATATTTAAAAGATCTATAAAAAAGATTTAAGGCAATAAAAAAACAATGGGTTACCAAGCATGACAAGCAAAATATTAATGTCTATAAAAATGATGAGCTCAGGGGCGCCTGGGTGGCTCAGTGGGTTAAATAAAGCCTCTGCCTTCGGCTCGGGTCATGATCCCAGGGTCCTGGAATCTAGTCCCGCATCGGGCTCTCTGCTCAGCAGGGAGTCTGCTTCCCCTTCTCTCTTTGCCTGCCTCTCTGGCTACTTGTGATCTCTATCTGTCAAATAAATAAATAAAATCGTTAAAAAAAAAATGATGAGCTCATTCAAATATATTTTTTTCAAATATATTTTAAAAATTAAAATCACTAGTAGATAAATGGTCAAAACTGTGGAAGTCAAAATTCACAGAAAAAGGAAATAAAAAGAGTAAACACAAATATAAGGGAAAGTTGGATCAAAAAATAGTTAAAATGACAAGCCATTTATAAAAACTGAATTATTCAAAAAGTAGAGAGGGATGCCCCGGGGGCTCAGTCAGTTAAGCATCTGACTCTTGATTTAGACTGAGGTCATGATCTCGGGGTTGCCAGATCAAGCCCCAAGTCAGGCTCTGCGCTCAGCGCAGAATCTGTCCTAGATTCTCTCTCTCCCTCTTTCTCTGCCCTTCCCGCCACTCTTTCTTTCTTTCTCTCTCAATCTCTCTCTCAAGTAAATAGATAGATAGATAGATAAAAATCTTTTTTAAAAAAATAGCAAAACGATAACAACTTGTAGTGGATTGGTACATGCAGGCTGTACTCTGCATAGCTATTTCAGAAATCAATTTGGGAATATATATCAAGAGAAATAAAAGTGATTGTATCCTTTGATTCAAGTCCTGCATCTTTAATTTTGTCCATAGGAAATTTAACAAATAGTATATTGAAGCTGTTGATTACTTCAATATTTAGAATAACAAAGAACTGGAAACCACTAAAATTTTAAATAGTAATGAAAATATTTGACAAGTTATGGTACAAATACTGCATAGAGTATGTTAGACCATCTTTAAAAACATCAGGATGGATGAGAAGCTAAATGACATGATCCAGATAATCTGTTCCACTTCTAAACAGACATGGCATCTATGACATCTACTCCATGAGATGTATTATGTTAATTCTCCAATATAATATACTTAGCCCAGTCAAGCTTAATTTCTCACTATCCCCCAATGAACTTTGTTTGCTCCTGCTTCTAAGCTACGATCATGCTCTGGTCCTGTACTTAGAATGTTTTATCCTCTCCTCCCTATACACTCAAATCCTGCTCATTATTCCAAGGCCATTCAAAAAGATAGAACCATGACTTTGCTCTTGTATATTCTACCATACTTGTAACCACAGTAGGGATTTGATACATTCTGTTAAATGAATGAGTGAAAATAAATAATAGTAATAACTAATATTCCTGAGGACCTTCTACACGCCAGAAACATTCTAAGGGCTTTACATGTAATTCATTTAAACTCTACCATTATTTCCTTCTTAATACTTATCACAAACTATAATTACTATACTTATTTATTATGCAATTCCTCCACTAAAATTTATCTCCTATCTATCTTGTTTATATAGCAGGTACTATAAAAATATTTATTGACTGAGGGGCACCTGGGTGGCTCAGTGGGTTAAGCCACTGCCTTCGGCTCAGGTCATGATCTCAGGGTCCTGGGATCGAGCCCCACATTGGGCTCTCTGCTCAGCAGGGAGCCTGCTTTCCCCCCACCCCTCTGCCTGCCTCTCTGCCTACTTGTGATCTCTGTCAAGTAAAAAAAAAAAAAAAAATATTTATTGACTGAATCACTAAACAGTCAATCATTATTAGTATGGATTAGTAGTCCTTTAAAGGAATCCTTTGAAAGTCAAAATGATTAACTGTGAGTTCACAATGGACTGCCAAATTCAGAAATGTTTTATAAAATAGATTTAACACATATTACAATTACTTTCTTTTGTAGACACATAAAATTATTTCATATATATAAAGCAGAACATTCTGCAAAGTATGTCGAGGTAATATACTATGACTTTATAAAAGGGGTATGTTGACTATTCCCTATAGAAACTACCAACTAAACTAAAAGATATACCACCAGACCTTTCCATAAAATAATTACCTTAAAGAAAACCAGAAATAGATGTGTTTTTAATATAATGTTACCTGGAATTTGAAATTTTTTCTTTGAAAATAAATACTTAATTTTGATAGAAGGATGATTTAAAGCATAATACTATGCTAATTAATGACAGTCTTCCAGCTTTGGACACTTAAATTTGGCTTGCTCAGAGAAAAAAAAATTGCTAGTCAGAAAAAAAACCTACCCATTGCTTTCTTACAAATGCCAGAGGCTGTTACTACTCAACAATACCAGATGCAGGCAGTTCCACAGCTCATCCAAGAAATTGTCCATGATTGAGCAAGTCACCGCCCCCACCGACTATCCACCATTGGGTCAGTAAGGGATATGATTTTGAAAGGATATATGAAATGTACCTCTGGGCTCAGCAGTCAACATCCCGTAGTCACACTAAGTAGCAATAGAAAGCTACCATGCATGCCCCCAAAATTTTTATATTTAGACATTATGATCTATTTTAGAGAAAAGAAAAATAATTTCTCCTAAATGTTGTAAGAATAAATGAATGAAGAAAGCAGCAGTTTTTGGAGTATTGAGAAAGCACTGGGCGAGCATCCTGGGGTCTAGTTGCAGCATGGCCAGCAGCTGCCTTTGTCACCTTGAGGCCATAACTTAAGTACTCTGGGCTTTATTTTCCCATGTATAATAATAGGACAGGACTGAACCAGATGGTTTCTTAAATTTCTTCCAGGTTTTAAAATTCTACTACTCTCCTGTCCAAAACTGCTCAGCTTCCCCTTCACTTTCATTTTTAGGCCCTACCAAGAAGTTCACAAAAGAAATTTACAGCCATCTAGAATAGTCATGGAAGACTTTTAAGAAACAATGAACTGGGCCTCAAGGGATACTGAGATTCAGAAGGCCAAGGACAAGATAGTGGGAGAAGGACAAGGCAGGGGGAGAAAGGGCAGAGGACCCCAGAAGGTATAACTATACCCCAGTCCTCCTCCTTGACAGCCCTTAGTGCTGCTGACCAAGCACAGTTGTGGCAAGAAGAGCCATATGATGAGTTTTGACATGTGAGAAAAGACCACTGTCCCTTCCATGCTGGGCATTATGGCCTGCACAAGATTCTCCAGAGCTTTCTCAAATCCCCTATAGCAGAACAACGCCAACTTTCAAAATGAGGGCTTCTGCTCAATCTGACCTTTACTGGCAGTCATGAGTAGAGCCCCCTGTGAACTATCATAACCATGATGCTAGTGAGAAATAAAGTTTATTTTAAGCCACTGAGATATGGGGGTTGTTTTTGCTACAGTGCAGCCTAGTTCCTAAACACTCCCAAGGGTGAAGTCTGAAGCTAAGGCTAAGGAGAGAAGGTGTCTCCACCTTCTCTCCAACCTCAAAGCCCACTAAGCTAACACCAACCAAAGACAAAAGCCTCCATGGCTCCACTCAAGTCCACATCTGAACCCTTCCCAGGCTCTTCTTCTGCATCTTTCCCTGTTACAAAACTGGGATTGTGGGAAGTTACAAAACTGGGATTGTGGGAAGGTAGAAATGCTTTAAGGAAGGGATGGAGTGAGGTTGTATCCACAGTGGAAAGGCATTCTTCTATTTGCCACTGGTGCAGAGAACAGGGGGTAGGATTTAATACTGAGTGACCAAGCTTCAAAGATGGGAGGTATAACACAAATATCCTGCAAAAAGAATCTGAACAAGAGAAAATACTCTTAGACTTACGGTTTGAGCTTCCCTCAGGTTAACTCTTATCTTTGGTCTAAAGACACTTTTGCTCTTTCTTCTAGATTCAAATACTCCCCTTTTGAAGATCATCACTGCCATCTGTCTCAAAAAAAAAGAATTATATATGAGGTAACAATGGGATGCACTTCTCAACCACTAATACTAAGTTCTTAATCAACTATATAGTGCAGTAAATTTCTTTCATTTCATGAAATTTTTATACCTTTATTGTGGCCTCTCTATAATGTCTTCTGGATTCTTCCTGTGATTGTGAGTTACTCATTAATTCCAGTTGCCGTAACTCATCAATTTTAGCTAAAGCACGCCGAGCAAATGCCTGTATGCAATTAAAATAAATTTAATTCATAATAAATGAGAGTACAGTGATTAAAAATGTATCAAGACAGCATGTTTTATTCTCCCAGATATTTGATTTAATTGGTAAATTAAACTCTAGGTTGATGCTAACTCCTTATAACACTATAACTATCCCGCTGATCATTTCCTACAAGCGTCCCAATATTCTACAGGTCTAAAGTTAATAAGCTGTCAAATATGTTAACTTCATGAATCAAGAAAATGCCAGAATTCTGTATTTCTTTTAAGAAAAGCCAAATTCTGTAGCTTCATATAGATGATCACTTCTCTGGTATCGCATACACACACACACATACCCACCTCTCTGAAATACTGACCTTCTTACTAAAGCATCTGGTACTATCTAGTCAACTGTTCATTTTGTCTACTAAATCGTGAGGTCCTCATATGGTCTTATTTATTTTTGTATCTCTAGTACCCAGCATATAGGAAGTATCTACTAATATGTGAGGAAAGGAAGGAAGAAAGGAAGGAAGGAAAGGAGAAAGAAAGGAAAGAAGGAAGGAGATCTGCTTATTTAATCATATCACCATTATTATGATTCTCTACAGTTCAATTTATGTCATCTGTTTTACCATTTCTTTGAAATGTTTCATCTACAACTTATAATTTTTCATGAAGATCCTTCTAGACATAATAACATACATGAAGGGCTAAATTTTCCAACAAGGGAGAATTCCAATAGGAATCAAATAGTCTAAACTGTGCATATGTTCCATTCCCTGACAATTTTAATAGCTACAGAAACACACCACCACTAGTACATTGTAACTAACAGTACATGCATGGTGAGTAGTTTCTAGAATGTACTCTGGGCTAGAAAATGTACCCCCAAGGGCTGTATAAGGCTATTCAGGATGAGCCACTACCATCCAGCCATTCAGAGTAAGTTTAGACAGGAAACATTTAATGTAAAGAAGCAGGTAACCAGCCCGATGGCTGTGAACAGGATGTGAAGAGAAGATTTGTGCAAGTGTGAAGGCTCTATCCTGCTCAAGACTTCCAGTCAAGAGGTTCAGTGAGGGTTGCAATCCACCCCGCACTGCACTCACCAGACCATACACTCTGGTGCAGGGATGTGTTGGCCTGAAGGAAGGGCTGCCTACTTCTGATTCTCACCAACCCCTCATCCAGTGACAAGCCAGGTACCATATACTGTAGAGAAGGCACCTTTTTCTCACTGACACAGATTTACCATAAGGGCTAATAGAAGCCCCTAAGTTATATTTCAAGTAATCAGTCTAAAAGATACACAGGAAAAGAAGAAAAACAAGAAATATCATATATTAAACAAATGGCAGCTGGAAGCAGAGAAAGGCAAGACAAATGGACTGTAGGGAAACAGAATATAAAACTAAACAGGGAAGGAAAGTGACTTGCATAAAAGCGTCCAATGAGGAAGGTATCCGAAATCTTGTTCAGAACAGGGGCAGAGGAAACAGAAGTGAATGGAGAAGAAAGGAGAGAGCAGAATGTAGAACAAGAGATCAACAGAATGGAGAAGCCAAGCACATTTTTGCAAATAAACCCTGGGACTTGTGTCTTCGTCCCAATGCAATTTTTTAGGTTACATTTGTCCGTTTGTGTTTGTGTTGCTGGACAGCTGAAGAAGAAAATACTAAATAACTTATACTTTAAAAACTGGAATCCTGAGAATGAAAAGTGGCCCACCTCTCCATGAATGCCAGCTTGGCAGTCATAGTAGCACTGGCAGACGGCAGTGTAAAGAGTAGCTCTCCAGGTCAAGTATCTGACAGACAGGAGGGGGACTGAGCATTCCATACACATGCTGGCCCACAGAAGGTACTCTAAGGCCTGAGGAAGAAAGAGGACACTCGAATGTATTTTCATTTTAAGGTAACAATGATGATTTCTATCTAATATAATGTAATTATAAGTTGTGAGCACAAGCTGCTGACTGCTTAAACCAAAAATACTATAAGTAGTGAGTCAAGAGAAAAGAAGCATTTAAAAAGCAAAGGAATGGGGCGCCTGGGTGGCTCAGTGGGTTAAGCCGCTGCCTTCGGCTCGGGTCATGATCTCAGGGTCCTGGGATCGAGTCCCGCGTCGGGCTCTCTGCTTGGCAGGGAGCCTACTTCCCTCTCTCTCTCTCTCTCTCTCTCTCTGCCTGCCTCTCCGTCTACTTGTGATCTCTCTGTCAAATAAATAGATAAAATCTTAAAAAAAAAAAATTAAAAAAAAATAAAAAGCAAAGGAATAATTTAAAGAACTCAAAATCTCAAGTTAGTTATTTTAAATGTCTTCCTTCTTAGCTCCTAAAGTGCTATGAACTCAACTGGTTTTTATTAATATCTTTCAAGTGTCACCAGCAGTGTAGGAGGTAATTTACATAGATGTTTCTCTACCTACATAGCTACATTACATTCAGTGACATTAATATGCTCACATGTGTGTGATTCCAAAGCTAGACTGCAATCTCTCGGAAAAGAATGGCACTTTTTTATTATATCACCAGCACCTGGAAGAATCCCAGGTACATAGCAGATATCTCCAACTGCTAGTAAATGAATTCAGTGGACAACCTCAAAGTCAGCAGAACCAACGCGGGAGAGCTAACAAGTCTTTAAGAATCTTGGGAAAATAATGACAATAAATTTGGACAGCAGAATAAAGTCCTTCTTCCTATAACAAATTTGGCCTTCAGTAATTGAGGAAGTAATTAAGGAAAAATATGTCTGTAAAAGTCAACTCTTGGAAAGGCAAATCATCAGAATGATCCGGGAGCTTCATAGTCATGAAGCAACCCCCCCTCTCGACTGACATAGCATTTAATAGTAAAAATAGATAAAACACTAGTAACATTCAGACCCTATTACCATCTCTGGAGCCTTCAAAGACAATACATACAACACATGTGCAAGCAGCTCAACTTTCTCATCTAAGAAAAAGAAATCTGAAAAGGCCAGAATTCTCTACTATCTAGTCAGTTTTGATTCCAAAGGAAAAGAGAGTGCTGGAAATAGAGCAGAGTTTGACACAGAATTATAATATTCTTTGCTATCCACTAAGCTCATCCCACCAGAATGTAAAATCACTTAGGAAAGGGACCTAGTCTGTCTTGTTCACCACCATATCCCCATCTCCTAAAACTATCTGGCATGTAATGATAAATATTATATAAATATATGTTGACTGACTGACCTTCATTAAAAAAATCTCTAGTTGATGATGCTAGATTTGGAACTATGTTAAGTAATCACAGAATCAAAGGGCTGAAAGTCAGTCTAATTTCATCCCTACCAATATCACTGGCACCACCACCAAATGACCTATACCTTTCCAAACCAAGAGTTCTCACCTCTAGCAACAAGGAACGTGCCACATGGCATCAGAAGACAATTCTAAAACATGAAAAGTGCTTTCTTAATCTGAAATGAAATCCACCTTGATATACCTCCAGTGCACTGGTCCTAGTTACGCATCCTGGAATAGCACAGAACCACCCCAAATCCACTTCCAACATACAGCTTTCCAAGAATCGGAAAACCACCTATGCATCCTGTCTTCTCCCCATCTCTCTCTCCAGGATAACCAACCCTGGATGCTTTTAGATCTCCTAGGACTGACTTCCCTTCCCCATCGTGGTTAGTCTCCTGTGGTTTTGCTCCAAGCTGCCAATGTCTTTTGGGGTGCATGACTTCTCCACAATAAAATGAAGCTTTCAGTCCCTGTTTCTGGACACTACATCTCTACTAAGTGGGCCCAGGGTTGCTTTATTCCTGTTGTTGTTGTATGCTAACCTTGCCACACTATGAACTGAGGTGGAATTAGCAGTCATCCAAATGAATTTTCTCACATTTGTTGCCCAAAAACCCTACTGTGGATTTTTGCATATGGACTATTGTGGTTTGTGGGGGTATGGGATCAAACCGTGTATAAATTTTTCCCCCTTAAATTCACATATCTTTTCAAAACCCCTTGGAATCCCTGATATTAGAAATTTCACATTTCAAAATAAAAATAGCTTCAGTCACTAATTGCTCATATTACATCTGGGTTCATATGCAGACTTAGAATAAAAGATGCCAATCACATATTTTAGTGCCAGAAGGGACCTTAAAAGTAACCCAATTTAACTCCAAGAGGCCAAACTGCTTATAAGCAACAGAGCTGGAGCTGGAATTCAGGTCTTTGGACTCCCAAGCACAGCAGCGTTCCTTCCACTACATGCAGCAGCCTTGACAAAGGGGGAGTTCTGGAAACCGAGCATTCTACTTAGGGTTTTGAAAAACTGACAGGTTTAAAGATGAAAAGGCCATTTCTAAAACAACAACAAATCTTAATTTGTAGCCTTTTTCTTGCTCCTAAAATCTCGAAAGAATATTAATTTAGAAAAAAAAAAGTTGATGGGATTTTAGTGAACTGTTGTCTTCAGAGGGGAAAAAATTTTTTGAAAAACCCAGTTATAAGAGCCCAGCAAGAGCCTGGCTCAGGTGCAGAGCAGGAAAAACCCACGGTTTATCAGCTCAGCCACAGGATGGCACTGCAGCATCATTTATGTCAGCTTGTACCCTTGACTGGAAACAACACTGACGGGCATTTCAAAGTTTGGATTTCGGGTTCACCTAATGGTACCTGGAATAATTTGACAATAATTGTTCAAACCACAAAATTTTACTAAACTATTTCAGTTCTATAGTAAAATAAAACAAATAACTTTTTTTTTAAAATGAATAGATTCTACCATATTTTCTTATGTTTGCTGAGTACCATACAGTTTTAAATGCCTCAGGAGAAACTACAGATTAAACCACAAGTGAAAGTGAAGTTGTGACTTGTCTTTAGGAAAAGAGCCTTCAGAAATCTTGCCTCCCTCCACTCCCTAAGGTTATACTGATGACCTGTGTTTCCGATCTGGGGAAAAGTCCCTGGTCAGTCCTGGTCTTCAGGACATCTTCAGAAATAGAGTCATGTTGAAAAACCATTAACCCTCCAACATGGCTCCTCCATTTGAGTGGGTGAACCAAAATAGGATGGGTCATGACAGGATTAAATTTAGTCAACAGGCATGCATTACTCTAGTGGCGTTGAAAGGCAGTACAGTGTAGCATTGGCCTCAGCGACACTTCTCTGAGAGACATTGAGCCTCAGCTTCCTCGTCTTTAAGATGAAGGCAATAATAGCACCTTTCTCAAAGTGATGGTATGAGGATTAAATGAGACAATACGTGAAGAAAGTGCTTAGCAGCATACCTGATAAATGGTAGGCATTCACTGAACAGATGATGATGATGGTGGTACCCACCTCATAAGGCACCTACATTGAGCATTATATATGCAAAGCCCTTCACACAATACCTAACACACAGTAGGGATTCAACAGTAATAACAAATGGTAGCCATAATGTCTAGATCCTATATGAATAGGAGTTTAGATTGCTCTAGGACGACCCCAGGAAAAGCCCTAGTATTCCATGTCAATTTCTCTTTCTGTTGTACGCTACAACAGACTGGAACTCTAAAACTACCACAGAATCAGAATCCCTCATACTGAGAATTTTGTCTCAGATGTGGCTGGTCCTCCAAGGGCTTGTCCCCGTTACAGCTCAGGAATCAACTCACCAGCTGAGGGCTTGGGAATTTCTGGATGAAAATTTTTAATTTCAGTGAAATTTCTTATACTGAACAAACTGAAAGAACCACATTTCAATCTTCAAGTGCCAACCGTATGACCACCCACCACCAAAAATTCTTGCATCTCTCATTCTCCCTACTCCTATCCCACAAGACTGGGAATTATCCTCCTTCAGCCTTTATTCTGTCAGACAAAAGCTCAAGTTCAATAAGGGGGAGAGGAGATGTCTTATGTAGGATTTAAATAAGAAATACTTTTGAGATGACTATCACATGAAGCTAAAATTCTCTCAGCATTAATAAGTACAAACACTAACAGTTAAATTTTGGCACAGTTATCTCTGTCCTTCGAGGCTTTGGCAGACAAATGCTGTAGCAGACCAAACTATGATGGCTCTGTGCAGCAGTATTTGTTGCTACGGCAAGTGCAACAGGAGTATGCAAATTCTCTTTAGGAAATCATCTGGAACTGAATGTAGAATTGTTGGAATAGTGTGTAGGCCACATTTACATTATTCATGAAACAGTCTCCCTTCATTTCAATTTACATTCAAAGCACAGAGCTTGCTCAAGTCACTGTCAGTAATAGAGCTTTTAAAAGTGAGGAACAAAACAGAAAGAGAACACATAATTAATGTTATGCATCCAGCACGAAAGTATCTTTGCTTCCATTTTTATTTTTTAAGCATTGTCAAATTTTAAGATAGTAGGCTATATTTTGAGGAAATAAGGGGAAAAAAAGTACCTGCACTGAGTGTTACAATATTCAGCATAAGGTTTTGTATGCAGTGAAAAAAAAACAAAGCAGTAATGTTTAAGATAGCAGAAACAATTCAAGCATGCTCTCGATGGAAGCGTATTCTCTCTTCTAGGCCTATATTCCAATAACTGGACATTGACACACGGAAGAAATATGTCTCCTACAGACAAAAAGTGCTACCAACATTGAAGGGAAGTGTCAGCCACTTGCTCAAGCTAAAACTGAGTGGTTAAGTACTATTAAGTATGAATCTTATTGTAAAATAAAGGCCCCTTGCCCTCATATCATAACTGGGACAGTGTTTAGGTGGACATTCACCCAACTAGCATGTGAACCATAAGTCAAGTCCAAGCTGTTGGAGGACACTGAAGCCCAAACTCCATAGCATACATAGAGTCACCATACCTTGTCATCCAAACCAGAACACTTTAAGGAGCAAAAGGGAGCTATTAATAATTACTTATTAATAACTAGTTATTAATTATAACTGTTTGTTATTAATTATGACTATTTATTAATAACTATAATAAATAATAACTATTAACAGTTACTCTAGGACAACAGACATAAACCAGGATGGATGGTCACCCTACCTAAAGATAAAGTTACCAGAGAAATGTTCAGTATCAAGTTGACAAGTAATGACTAATCTGAGAGACTGAGAGACACTAGAGATTATCTATCAATTTTAGGAATTCTTTTTTTTATTAATATTTTATTATCTTTTTATTTTTAGAGATGATCATGTTAAAGTAAAAGAATAGTAAAACTATATAATAAATATTTATTAAATTTTTTTATGTAATTCACTAATTTTCTTTGTTCAGCACTCAATGCTAACAAAAGTCTTGAGAAAAACAAGAAATACAGAGCAAGATATTTTGTCAGTAAATTTCATACCTTGGAAGACTGACCTATGATCATCAGTTTTCTGCAAATGGTATAAATGTAAATGGTACCTAGATGAAGAAAAAGACTGTTAACATATTTTACAGTTAAATAATGGAAATTTTATATCCTGACTTCTGTGGTTTAAGTCTATAGTTCCTTAAACAAGTGATCTTATGAGACAGTCTGATAATGGTTAGAGTTATAACCATCACAGTTTTTTTGTAACTTGCAGCCAAATCATAAAGAACTAATTTGACCACATTTTAAGTAAGGAGACATAGGAATCTTTTCTCCTCATTTGAAGGCCACCATAAGTTTTGAAATATATTAAACAAAAGAATATTTAAGTAGCATAATTTATATACCCTGTGGTTTGATAAAATGCTACTGGTGCCTATGGTTTATAACTGAAAAACTAAAGATTGATCTCCAAATAAGATTAGAATACATATTTAATCAAAATGGTACATTACCAAACAAAGAAACAAGGAAACTCATGATAACTTAAAAATCAAAACATATAATAGATTGTATTTTATTTATTTGCAGTCTCATAATATTTACCCCTTCATTAAGGTATGTCTTATAAGCACTCTAGTGAAAAACAGCATTTCCAACTCCTATTTCAGAGCATTCAAGTATGGCTTTTTGTTTTTTGTTTTTTGTTTTTTACAGTCAGGCCATTATTTAAATGAAAACAGAAGGGTAGAAAACTGGCAGAGCTGGGGCAGGGGTGGGGAAAAACATCACCAGACATCTCTCTGTATACAAAGGACATTATCATGCTACAAACATACCCCAAAGATAGTAACGTGCCTTAAAAGGCATGTAATTATAATGACAAGTAGTCTAAATATTTTCTATAAAATATCTGATCTAAAATTCATAACCATCCAAATTCAACAATTACGAATCCATGTTCACACTTAAACTTTATAAGCTTCTGAGAAAACAGCATCTGCTCCAAAACACACATCAGTTGATTAAAATACACTTGTAAGCATAGCATAATAAACATTAATTACATAAGTCAGTGACAAAAAAATACTGAATAAACTTTTAAACACTTGCAACACCATAAACTTTATAGAGAATGCAATGGGTCCTTAACATTCAAGGACTCAGCCTTCTTAGTGTGACTGCTCTAGGGACATGGCAGTAGTTCTTTCACAAAAGGTTCACTGGGGAAGAACCACTTGGCCACTAACAGCTCAAGCCCAGCATTCTTAACTCAACTTGGCTTTGTTTACGTCTGCTCTTAATCTTTAAAAACAAAAATGTCTAACTGTGTTTTTTTATTTTAAAAGTCACCAAGTAAGGGCACCCACAGCAAACTCATGCCTCCCTGCAAAACATGTGATTCAGGTGTAAGCCAGAAGCCTGTGTAAACATGTCAGTAAGAGGAACTAGGGAATTTCAGAAGACCTCAGGACACTGCCCTCAAGAATGACTAGGGCCCTCTGTATTTTTAAAATAAGATTTTAACCTTTCCAGACCATATTAATGTGCTGACTATAACTGAATCCTTCTTTGATGGTTCAGGATCTTGGCCTGGCCCAAAAATTCCCATTGCAGAAGATTGACAGAGAGAGTAAATGACATAAAATGGAAAACAGTTTAAATCTTTATAATCTTGGGCTATTCCGGAACTTTGTTTTGTTTTATTTTTAACCAAATCCCTAATATGAGTTTATTGCTTTGTCATGTGGCTTCTTTTCATCAAAGATGACCACCACCAAAATAATCCGGCTATGTGAGTGTTGAATGAGTTGGGTTCAGGTTGGTTGTGAAGTAAGGTTTTATGCAACTGTCATACACCCAGTTAGAGTTTGTGAAAGAACTAAAATTGGTTAACTATCTTTAAGAAACCAAGAGTGTGGAAGTGCCTGGGTGGCTCAGTGAGCTAAGCCTCTGCCTTTGGCTCAGGTGATGATCCCAGGGTGCTGGGATCGAGCCCCGCATTGGGCTCCCTGCTCAGCGGGGAGCCTGCTTCCCCCCCCCCCCACCTGCCTGCCTCTCTCTCTCTGTCAAATGAACAAATAAAATCTTTATAAAAAAAAAAAAAAGAAAGAAAGAAACAAACCAAGAGTGTGATGTGTAACAGTCAATTAAAAGTAAAGAGAATCGTCTTAATGTCTAACAGAAAAGGTAAAATGCATTCTGATAAATTGTAGGTCAATTTATTTTTCATTACTCAAACTCCAAACTTTAAAAACTAAAAGGTCTTTGCACTTGTAAATCCCCTAGTCGGAATGCCCTTCCCCCAAATATCCAAATGTCTCAGTCAGGTGTTTACTCAAGTGTCATCTCAGTGAGGTCTTCCCTGATCATTCTGTCTAAAATAGCAGCCCAGCCCCAGCCCAAACTCTGCTCTCTCTATATCCTTCTTCACTTTTTCTCCGTTACACTCATCACTCTCTGACACACCATTTAATTTTGATTTATCATCTCCCTGAGGCATTATGTAAGCATGAGAACAGTTTTTGTCTATTGTCCACTCCTATGTCCCCAGCACTTAGAACAATATCTTGCACTTAATAACTTTGAGATGAGTCCATTAAACAAGGACAGTAATTAGAAAAAATTAAGTATATGCATCTTCCACAACCCAGCAATCCTACTGCTGGACATAAATCCCAGAAAACTTTAACACAGGATTATAAAAGGACACACGTAAGGATATTTGTTGCAGAATCATCTGTGCAATTAGAAGTAGGGCAAACCAGGTGCCCATCTAGAGGGGTGTATGGACATCTGGAATACAATTCAACAGACAGAATTAATGAACTAGATTTATATATAAGAACCTGGTTCCATTCTAAAACCATGGTATTGAGTAAAAAAAACATTTAGGAAACAATAAAAATCCAAAGAATGATACCATATGTATATAAAAGCACACATCAAATAAAGTTCTGTAGAAGACACAGAAACTATTGTTTTGTTCTGTTTTTAGAATATTGGGATTTTTGGATGTGATCTTAAAAAGACTGCAGACAGGATGTTATTCCACCTCTCAAACAAGGCCCAACTGCAGGACCCAACCCTCAGCCCACCCACTCCTTCTTGAGCTCAGAACCTCTGGTCCTGGTCAGTCCCTGCCAAGATACGTGAGAAACTTAGGGGGAAGGACAGCAGTGGCTCCTCAGGGAATCACAGATCTTCTTGAAGATGATCAAACAAAAAAGCTTAATAGTCACTGGACTGAAAATTTCTTCCAAAATCAGGCTCATCTTGGGCAGCAAATGTTAAGGTCTAATTTCAATCAAAGTGTCAAAAAAAATTATTTGAGGAGGAGGAAGAGGGAAAAGGCTAGGAAATGTACTTTCAGTTGTCATGGATGAGGGAAAATCCAATATGTTTTCTTTCAAGGTATTTGGTCCTGGTCTTACACACTGTCATTTTCCTTTTAAGAAATTATTCAGAGATCAATAAAGTAGGTGACTGACTGTAACTTTAAAAAGAATTTAAGGGGCACCTGGATGGCTCAGTGGGCTAAGCCTCTGCCTAAGGCTCAGGCCATGATCCCAGGGTCCTGGGATGGAGCACCACATCGGACTCTCTGGTCAGCAGGGAGCCTACTTCCCCGCCTCCCACCTGCCTGTCTGCCTACTTGTGATCTCTCTCTCTCTGTCAAATAAATAAACAAAATCTTTTTTAAAAAATAAATAAGTAAAAAATAAAAAGAATTTAAATTGTAACTCCTTAAAGAGAAAAACAGCTGCTATATTTTGATAGCTAAGATTTATTCCACAAGACAACTATACTGTATATATGTATATTTGCATATCTATACAATGTAGATATATAAATAAATACACTACACACACATATGTACACATACATTCTCAGAGTTCCTCACTCAAAAGCAAGTAGGAGGAGAAGGTTGGTGAGAAGAAAGCAATAGTTACTGGACAAAGTATTTGGGGAAAGGACCAATAAATGGATGATGCTTAGAACCAGTCTAACCTGCCGTGGTCCTTTGATCCTTTTCCACTTATATTTACATATTAACCATGGGCCCTACTTCTTCATACCTGAAATTGACTATCTCCACAGCCTCTGACCCTCCCTTGAGCAGGAAACCCAAAGACGTGCTTTGTAAGTCCCTGCTTATGGGGACAAACTAAAATACAATAAAAATATAAAAAGGACAAAAAAAAATACCCATAATCATCCTATTATGAAATGAATGGGGCTTTTTTAAAGAAATTACGTATTTATATTAGAAGAATTTTTTTTTAGAATTTGGATATGTAATTTGGTTTTTTGTGGTTTTTAAATTTTTATTTAAATTCTGGTTAGTTGGGGCGCCTGGGTGGCTCAGTGGGTTAAGCCTCTGCCTTCGGCTCAGGTCATGATCCCAGGGTCCTGGGATCGAGCCCCCGCATCAGTCTCTCTGCTCAGCAGGAAGCCTGCTTCCCCTCCTCTCTCTCTCTCTGCCTGCCTCTCTGCCTACTTGTGATCTCTCTCTCTGTTGAATGAATAAATAAAATATTTTAATAAATAAATAAATAAATAAATAAATAAATTCTGGTTAGTTAACATACAGTGTAATACTGGTTTCAGGGAAAGAATTTCATGATTCACCACTTAACATAACACCCAGTGCTCAACACAAGTGCACTCCTTAATATCCATCACCCACTTAGCCAAGATAATCAATCAAATTATTATCAAACTTGGCATCTAAATAACTTTCTGAAAGTTGTGATGAAAAATAGAAGACATTGGCACCTACCATTGAAGATAATCCAGCAAAGGTGCTCCTGTGGCAAAGCGACCTGCATGATGAGCCTTAAGGAGGACAGAATCTGCAGACACTGGGTCACAGAGTCTTTGTTCTGCAGATTCACATCACTGTCACAGACCAGCTCATATTTGCAAATATTTTTGCTACTTAAAGCATGAAACTGAAACAGAAGGAAAATACAAATAAGAATACAAGTAAGGTTTATGCAACTTAGAAAAGCATTTCTTAAAATGTGAAAAAAAAGACAAGAAAATAGAAATGATTCTGCTTAAATAGACTATATAGTGCTGTAGAGTGAATGTTTGGGACCCCACCAAATTTACATATTAAAACCTAATCCCTAGTATTTGGATGTGGGGTCTTTAGGAAGAGATTGTCATGAAGATGGAGCTTTCATGAATGGGATTAGTACCTTTTAAAGAGACTCCCAAAGAGCTCCCTACTGTCTTCTGCCCTGTGAGGACACAGACACAAGACAGCCATCTATAAGCCAGGAAGTGGGCCCTCACCTGACACCAAATCCTCTAGCACCTTAACCCTGGGTCCCCAGCCTCCAGAACAGAGAACCTGATGTTATTTAGACCATCCAGTCTATGGATTTTTGTTAAACAGCCCTCAAGGACTAAGACCTATGGAAGGAAATGTAGTAAAAGAGGTTTCTTCAAAGCATCCATTTAGTAAAGCTTACTTGTCCTTAGTCACAAAAATTTCAAAAGCCGAAAAAGGTACAAACTTTATTTCCAACAATATAGAATTGAATTACATTTTGTAAACCCTCCTCATTAGTATTTTAATCTATTAATCTGGATGCAGTTATTACCATTTACACAATTCATTCAGCAAATGTCTGCTGCACACCTCTATTTGCCACATTCTGCTAAGCAATAGGGACTCAAGGACGAAGATGTTGTCCCTGTTCTTGGCAGAGGGAAAAGCATTCCAGGCACACGCAATGTTAGGAATCCTTAAAGTCGTTGCTGTGGTCACTGAATTGAAAGTCTTTTGTAAGTTTGGGTAAAAAGGCTTAAAATAAAGAGATGAGGGATGCCTGGCTGGCTCAGTTGGAAGAGCATTCAACTATTGATCTTGGAATCATGAGTTTCAGCCCCATGTTGGGTGTAGAGATTACTATAAAAAATCAGCTTTGGGACTCCCAGCTGGCTCAGTGGGTGGAGCTTGCCACTCTTGTTATCAGGGTCATTGAGTTTGAGCCCCATGTTCATGTAGAGATTATTTTAAAATAAAATCTTTAAAAAAGAGAGAGATTAGGCTCTTAACGTGGTGCATGGTCAGAACATAGAGAACATTTCACATCATTCCAAGGAATATGAACTTTAGCCAAAGGAGAAAGTCAAGGAGCAATGGAATAAAATGATCTGATTTACAGTTTAGAAGTTCAGAAGTCAAGTCTGACAAAATTGGGGAAGATGAAAAGCAGAGTATGGAGCACAAAGCTACAGGCAGGGGGACTAGGAAACTCAAAGGCCTTTGACGTAGTCCAGAGATACCAGGGTCCTGAAATAGGTGCTGGAATCAGGGATGAATAGGAAGAAAAAAATTTTTTATTAAGATTTATTTATTTGAGAGAGAGAGCATGAGCATGTGCACACATGCTGGCAAGAAGGGAGGGGAAGGGGCAGAGGGAGAGGGAGAGAAAGAATCCTAAGCAGACCCCACACTAAGTGCAGAGCCTGACCTGGGGCTCAATCCCAGGACTAGAGACCATAACACCAGCTGAAACCAAGAGCTGGATCTCCAATTGACTGTCACCCAGGTGCCCCGCAAAAGGAGAGATTTAAGTTTTATCTGACTTAATGGGATTTAGAATTTTTTTAAGATTTTATTGATTTATTTGAGAGAGAGAAAGTGAGTGAGAAAGACAGCATGAGGGGGAGAAGGGGCAGAGGGAGAAGCAGACTCCCCACTGAGCAGGGAGCCCAAAGCAGGACTCTGATCCCAGGATCCTGGGATCATGACCTGAGCCGAAGGCAGACATTTAACTGACTGAGCCACCCAGGCGCCCCAGAGTCCATGGGATTTAGATGTGGGAGGCAAAAGCGAGAAAGCGGTCTACAGTGATTTCTGTTTGGGTGAGTGGCTGGTGCCAATTATGGAGGAAAGGGAATGAATTCACTTTAGGATATGTGGAGTGTGACATGTTTCTGACATAAATCTCACAAGAGAGATTCTAGTTAGAGAATCATCACTACTGCTAAAGCTGAGGCAGTGCACATGCACTAGCACAAATGGGCCTTCCTCTAACACATGTGATTTCCCACTGGGATACATGTAGACGATTTCTAGCCATCCTATAACTGGTATCACAGAAAAAAGAGATTTATTGACTGCATGTGCATTTTGGAACAGTTATCCTCAAAATGCTCTCTCTTAGAAGCCGATAGTGATACCTAATATTTTTTTTAGTGTCAGGCCCTATTCTAAGACTTTTTTTTAAAGACTTTATTTATTTATTTGAGAGAGAGATCACAAGTAGGCAGAGAGGCAGGCAGAGAGAGAGGGGGAAGCAGGCTCCCCGCTGAGCAGAGAGCCCGATGCAGGGCTCTATCCCAGAACCCTGAGATCATGACCTGAGCCAAAGGCAGAGGTTTTAACCCACTGAGCCACCCAGGCACCCCAATTCTAAGTCTTTTATTATCTCAACAATCTAAAACAATCCTCTGAGGTAAGTCTTATTGTTATTTCTGTTTTACAGATGAGGAAACTGAGACACAAAGAAATTACATAGCTTCTCTGGGGTCCCATCATTAGGAAGGGGCACAGCAGCTTTTTGAACCCAGGCAGGCTGGCTCTAGAGACCAAATTCTTACCAACTCTGCCACAATGCCTCCCCACATTACCACAAAGAGGATCATTAAAAAAACAGGAGTATCTCTGCACAAAAATATTTGACAAGTAAATTCTACATTATTACCACTTCATCTATAATTTTTATGCATCTAACTCTAAAATCTATTTCTCTAACAAAACCTCTCAAGACCTCTAAATTCTTCATTGTCCAGCTCCTACTCGATTACATTTTCAATCCATTCGTTCTCTTACTCACTTATTTTATAGATATTTATTGAGAAACACAGTGTGCCAGAACCTCTAAAAAACCAAATTCTTCATAGATTTTCATGCCCTTCACAAGGATGCTGCTGGCATACTTTTATGTTGGCTTCATTACTTTACCATCTGCCTCTAGTCTTTGTCCTTCTAAACTATTCAGTGTAGTATTTATTCATTCATTTAGTAAAGCTTTATTGAGCATCTATTATATACTATTATATCTATTACATGATCATTGTGACACAATCTCCAAAACATCTTTCCAAAGTTTATTAAGTGCATTTTCTTATCCATCACTGAAAACATTTATTAAGCAACTTAGAGCACACAAGCAAATGCCATCCTAAGCAAATGAAAGACATTTAGAAGCTGTCAACTAAGGAATACATTGCACAGCTAACAATAAATTGTAGCTAAAATAGCTACTGCTTTCATCCTACTGTATGTGCAGCAGTTTTGTCTCCAAAGACTTTTGGAAAAAAGGCAGTTTGGAACTGATTCACTGTTCTAGGCACTAGAGGTTAGAGACTAGAGCAGTGCCTGTCTTCACAAAGCTCATATTCTAGAAGGGGAAACAGGCAATAAAAACATAAACAAATAAAAATGTATATGGTAATAATAAGCAATATAAAGAAAAATAAAGCATGAAGTGCAAGAGACCTGAAGGAAGGGATGGATGAGCCACACAGATATCTCGGAGACAAGCTTTCCAGAAGGAGCTCACAGTGCACCAGTACTAAGCCAGAGAGGCTGGGTGGAAGCAGAAACATGTAACAGTACGAGAAAAAAAGATGGGGCCGTGGACCAGGGTGGCATAGGAGGGTACTTAAAAGTCTAAACTCCTAAGCTTTTCATTCAGCACTCTTCCCAATGGGATGCCTATTTATATTGCCCAGTATTCTGATTCACGTACTTAGGGTACAGCCAAACTGAACCACTCAATGTGCCCCAAACACGCCTTGGGATCTTCTGCTAGTACACCATATGCTGTTTCCGAAGGCTTGAATAGTCACCAAGTTTGGAATAACATCGCTTTGGAATCAGACTGATTAGGGTTCAAACACCAACATTGCCCATTGCGTTAAGGGGCTAGGTTTCTTAGCCTCTGTTTCCTCATCTGTAAAAGAGGCATGACCATATCCACCTTCTAGGATTGTAATGAAGCTATAAGAAGACCATTCATATAATGCTTACTGAAGAAGATAGCTCCTGACAACTGCTCACAACCCCTCGACCAGTGAATGAATAGTAGCAATTAACATAATAATAATAATGGTGTATTAGAAATAATGCATCCCATTTTTTTGTATTAAAAGATCTATGCTTGATTCTCTGAGCCACTAGTTAACTAACTGTGCCATCAGCTTTCTTTCTCTCTTTTGTAAAATAAGGGTAACAACAGTTTCTAACTCATAAAGTTATTGAGGATCAAATATATTTTCCAAAGCATTTCATAAACTAAAAGCACTCTACAAATATTAGTTATCATAACAATAATAGATGTCTGCTGGAGGAATGAGTGCTTATTATGACACAATCTCCAAAACATCTTTCCAAAGTTTATTAAGTGCATTTTCTTAGCCATCACATTAAGCAACTTAGAGCACACAAGCAAGTGCCATGCTAAGCAAATGAAAGACATTTAGAAGCTGTCAACTGAAGAATACGTTGCACGGCTAATCATAAATTGTAGCTAAAACAGCTACTGTTTTCTTCTTACTGTATGTGCAGCAGTCTTGTCTCCAAAGCCTTTTGGGAAAAAAGCAGTTTTGAACTGATTCACATCTGCTTTATTCTCATCAAAGTTGATAGTGAACTGCTGAAGATACCTTCCATAGCACTGTAAAAGCGCCAGTTTGTATTCCTGAAATAAAAAGAGGACTTGATGAAAGTTTCAAAGTATGACTTTGCTTATCGTTATTAAAATTTGATAATATTCAAATTATTCTTAATAGTATCAATGTTGATTATTACTGTAACACTCTTTTACTAACACCATTACATCGTAACTACCATTATCACTAGCATCTCTAAACACATATTATGTGAAGCCACTGCACTGGGTGCTTCATGTGCATTATTGCATTAATCCTCCTCCCAACAAGCCTATTGTGAGACGAGACCATCACAACGAGAATATCCACCAGGGTGTGGATAATGATGACATAATAATGAGAATATTCACCAGGGTGTGTGTGGTAATACCTATATATACTCAAAATCCAAAAAATTCATCATCACCATGTCATAGTAATCCACCTACTCAAGAAAGGCAGATGAGTTGCATAACCAGCCTTGCTTCTCCGATACCTCCTCAGTTCCAAAAAAGAAAGAAAGGGGGAGAGAGGGGAGAGGAAAGGACGAAGGGAAGGAGAAAAGAAAAAGAGGAAAGAAGGAGAGAGAGAAAGAACGAAGGCAGGAAGGGAGAGGATAGGAAAGGCTCTCTCTCTTTTATCTGACATCAGTCTCTGAAGCTGCATCAGGACAAATAATAAAAGCCTGAGCTATTGTTAGTTAGGATTCCTATTAGTCCTAATTGGTGCTTATGTTTCCATTTCAAAATCAGGCCTCATCTCTGCAGCGCACAGGGCACAGCTGACCTGGAGCTTCAGGGCAGGGGAGGTGAGCAGGGCTGCGGATATGAGTCAACTGCACCCCTTCGTCAGCTTCCTCCCCTACAACTGTCTCCAGGGAAAGCAACTACTCTCCATGTCTACTGCCTATAGGGTTACCCAGGCCCTTGGGAGGCATCTACAGTCAAACTTATGTTTCTATTGAATTTTGTTACTTTTCACTAATGGGAGGCTGAAACTTTTCCTTTCTAACTTGGTTCATACAATGAATTTAAATCTAGGTTCAAAACAAGACCATTCCAACAAAGCGAACTTCACTGGAATTAAATAAAACTAGAGATTCTAGAACCAAGAAACAACTCCAGTTCATTTTCAGGATTCTAAATACCTCTATCAACCCACTTTCTCACCAATGAAAAGTAGATTAAAAATGTTTTCTTTGGGGCGCCTGGGTGGCTCAGTGGGTTAAGCCGCTGCCTTCGGCTCAGGTCATGATCTCAGGGTCCTGGGATCGAGCCCCGCATCAGGCTCTCTGCTCGGCAAGGAGCCTGCTTCCTCCTCTCTCTCTGCCTGCCTCTCTGCCTGCTTGTGATCTCTGTCTGTCAAATAAATAAATTAAAAAAAAAAAAAGTTTTCTTTGTTCCTTTAAGTAAATTTTAAAATATCCTATCTGGGCCTTTCTATCTGAAATATTCTGAATCTTTAGCCACTACCCAGCATCAACTTGCTTTATCAACTTCTAACATGTTCTTCCCTCCTCCCTCCACCAATATCCGCTCCACCCACCTGAATACTCCACAAACACCACCCAACTGTGCTGTGTATCACCCGCCTCCTATACTGAGAAGTATAAAAACGGAGAGGACACTCTTCTAATACTTGTCAAAACAGTTATTCCACTTCACATGAATATAACTCACAAGGTGGATCTTGTCCAAGAGTTTTTTTGTTTGTTTTCAATAGTTTTCCTGTAGAGAAACTTTTTTTTACCTGTATTTTTTCTTTATTTTTAAATTTCTAAGAACTACGGTCCAATTACATGAAGCTAAACTGATGCCCTAATTTTGGCAGCAGACAATAGATCATCTACATTTGAAATTTCCTCCACAGTTCCTCCTCCATTTGGTAAACTTGCCTCTCAAACCTCTCCCCACTAAAAAAAAAAAAAGAAAAGAAAAATAAATTCAAGTCCAGAAAATAGAAATGAAGGAGGAAAACGAAGCTGAAAAACTGTAAATCAAGAAAACATTGAAAATGGCCTAAAAACGCTTTGGATAAAAAAAAAACTCTTGGTCCAAGGATTCTAGATGTGTCAAACATTCATATTTAACTCGGAATAATTTGGGCCTATGCCAGAGTTTAAGGGAAAAACTTACATTATCGTTAACTGAAAACCCAGCTATGGTGTAGTCTTACTAAAGCAAATCTACAAGTCCACAGCAATCCAAGACCTGGGCACTGTTATGAACTGGAAATTGGGCACAAGCTCAGTTCAGAATACAATACTAAATAAGAAACAGGACATGTAAGGAATGTCTGCTCTATTACATATAGCAAAACATTAAGAAGTTGAAAGTAATTAAAACAGGGTGCTGGGAACCAGACAACAAAGCAGCAAGGCCAGGAACCCATGAAAGTTGTCACTGGGCAAGGTCAGCCATGTGAAAAACAACAGGAAGTGGTGTCTGGTCTCCTTTGTATGAGGTAGGAACATGATGACTCAGCATTTCCTGTTGGGCACCTACCACACCCTATGTTAACTAGGGGCTGTGTGCCTGCCCGACCCCAGCCAGTTGTCTCTCTGTTCAGGAATCTCTCACCTCTGGAGAATCTCAACTACAAAATTAAAAAATAAACACTCTTTTGATTACTGTGCCTCATTAAAATTTATAACATTCGTTCATATTTTTCTAAGGAAAAAAATCAAATCATGTAAAATAGGAATGGTATCAAACCAAATAATAATAATTAGCCAAGTAAGTTTCATTTAGGCCCTTTTTACTCCAGAGGAACTTACTTTCATTTCACAAAGGCTATCTCCAACCTTCAGAAGCTTTTCATTGTAATAAGCAGCTGGCAGCCGGGGGGCATATTTGGTCCAGATATTAAACAAAGAGGTGGCGCTGTAAGAATCATAAAATAAAATTATATCTTCAAAGTCAGCAAGAAACCTCAGTTAATTAGCAAACAATCCCTAAAAACTTACTTTGTGCTGTCTTTCCAATGTGCCTTACTGTCAATGGCTAATTATTACTAAATATAGTGAAAATTATTGCTTCCTTTATGCCAAACACTGACCAAAACTATCTTTTTAAGATTTTATTTATTCATTTGAGAGAGAGTGTGAACAGGAGAGCACAAGCAAGGGGAGGGGCGGAGGGAGAGGGAAAAGCAGACTCCCCCAGCCATTCCCCCGTGAACAGGGAGCCCTGCTCAATCCCAGGACCCAGGGACCATGACCTGAGCCAAAGGCAGATATTAACTAAGCCACCCAGGCAGCCCTGATCAAAGCTCTTTACATGCAATTTATAAAACAGATCTTACTTTTTAGAGTAATTTTAGGTTCACAGAAAAATTGAGCAAAGGGTATGGAGATTCCCCACATGCTGCATGCCCCACCCAAATGCACAGCCCCCCCCACCCCGCCCTTATCAACAATCATCCGCCACCAGAGCGGTTTATTTGTTACAACTCATGAACCTACATTGACACATCATTATCAACCAGTATCTAGTTTAATTTAGGGTTTACTCTTAGTGTTATATACCAAGTGGGTCTGGAAAAATGTATAATGATGGGAATCCATCATTATGTTATCACAGAGAGTAGTTTCACTGCTCTAAAAATCTTCTGTGTTCTGCCTATGCATCCCACTCTCTCCCTTAACCCCAGGCAACCACTGAGCTTTTTATTATCCCCACAATTTTGCCTTTTTCAAAATGCCATATAGTTAGAATCATACAGCATATAGCCTTTTCAAACTGGCTCCTTTCACTTAGTAATATGAATTTAACATTCCTCCATGTTTTTTCATGGCTTGATAGCTCCTTTCTTTATAATGCTGAGTAATATTTCCTTGCCTAGATATATCACATTTTATTTATTCATTCACTTACTGAAGGGTATCTTGTTTGTTTCAAGTTGTGGCAACTGGAGTAAAGCCACTATCAACATCCATGTGCAGATTTTTGTATGGACGTAAGTTTTCAACTCCTTCAGATAAATACCAAAATGCATGATTGCTGGATTGTATGGTAAGAGTATGCTTAGTTGGGATGCCTGGGTGGCTCAGTCAATTAAGCGTCTGCTTTCAGTTCAGGCCATGATCCCAGGATCTTGGGATGGAGTCCCACATCAGGCTCCCTACTCATCAGGGAGCTTGCTTCTCCCTCTGCCTGCCGCACCCCCGGCTTGTGCGCTCGCTCTCACTCTCTCTCTCTGACAGATAAATAAATAAAATCTTTAAAAAACAAATAAAACTCTTAAAAAAAAAAAAAAAAAGAGTATGCCTGGTTTTTTAAGAAACCACCAAACTGTCTTCCTCAATTAGCTGTAGCATTTTGTATCCCACCAGCAATGAATAGGGAGTCCCTGTTGTTCCACATCCTCCCTTCATTTGGTGATGTTGGTGCTCTGGATTTTGGCCATTCTAATAGGTGTATAATGGTATCTCATTGTTTTAATTTTCATTTTCCTAATGATATATTTTCGGGGACCATCTTTTCATATGTTTATTTGCCACTTGTATTATCTTCTTTGATGAGGTTTATGTTAAGTTCTCTGATCCATTTTTAAAATCAAGTTGTTTGTTTTCTTATTGTTGAGTTTTAAAAGATTTCTTTGTATATTTTGGATAATGGTCCTTTATCAGATATGTCTTTGGCAAATATTTTCTTCCAGTCTGTGGCTTGTCTTTTCATTTTCTTGATGGTGTCTTTCACAAAGCAGAAATTTTTTATTTTAATGAAGTCCTGCTTATCAACTCTTTTTTCATGGACTGTGGCTTCGATGTTATATCAAAAAAAATCATTATCAAACCCAAAGACATCTAGATTTCTCCTATGTTATCTTTTAGGAATTCCATAGAATTTTACATTTAGGTTTGTGATCCATTTTGAGTTAATTTTTGTGAAGGGTGTAAGGTCTGTGCTGAGATTCATTTCTTGCATGTGGATATCCAGTTGTCCTACACCATTTGTTAAGATCATCTTTGCTCCACTGTATTGTCTTTGCTCCTCTGTCAAAATCAGTTGATTACATTTATGTGGGTCTATTTCTGGGCTCTCTGCTCTATCCAAATGATGTATGCGTTCATTCTTTCACTGATACCACTCTGTCTTGATTACTGTATCTTTAGAGGAACTCTTGAAGTCAGTCTTCCAAATTTGTTCTCCTCCAATATTGCATTGGCTATTCTGGGTCTTTTGCCACATGCAATTTTGTTTTCATTTCATTTCCACAACAACCTTGAGATAGGTAGTCTCAATATCCCAGGTATATAGTTGATGAAATTGAGGCTCAGTTCATCCATGATCTTAACTAGTATATTACTGTGCCTGCCTGTCTTTTGGAATGTAAACTATCTGAGGGCAAGGATTTTGACTATGTTATTCATTGCCCAACCTCAAGAGTAGTGAATATCTAGTATATATATGTACTCAATAATTATTTGTTGAAAGAATGAATGAATACATAAATGACTATGAAAAAAATTCCTTGTTTTTATTTTATTTTTTTCTTTAGAGTCCAGGGACTTCACTATCAAGTCAGTCCTTTAGGGTTCTATTTCTTTCCACCAAGTAAACAAAAATAAAACATACAATATTCTCAAAATAGTTTCTAGTTAATTTCAAAGGGTAGCAGATCACTGATCATTTTGTTCATTCATTTAGTTAATATTTACTTCTTCCCCCCTCTCAGAAATTATAAATGCCTCTAGGAAAAATCCAAATTTCCCTCAACAGTTGTCTAAGCCTATCTCATAAATTTCTATATGTGGACAGTATTATGTACTGAATGAGTGTGTCCTCTCGAAATTCTTATGTTGAATTTGAGTGTGGCTATATTCGGAAAAGGGTACTCTCAGGAAATAATTAAGGTTAAATGAGGTCATAAGGGTGGGGCCCTACTCTGATGGCATTAACGCCCATTTCAGAAAAACTCCAGATAATTTGTTCTCTTTCTCTCTTTGTACTTGGTCAGAGGAAGAACTATGTGAAGACCCAGTGCTCTTCTGCAAGCCAGGAAGAGTGCTTTCACCAGAAACTGACACTGCAAGACCTTGATCTGGGGCTTCTAGTCTCCAGAACTATGAGAAAATAAATATCTGTTGTTTAAATCATCCAGACTTTGGTGTTTTGTTATGGCAGCCCAAACTGACTAATTTATAATTACTAATTAGAAACTAATAGCCCAAATTGACTAATACAGGCAGGAATGAAAACTTAGGGACTGAAGATGCCTCTAGTACTTATGATGTATATGTTGGGATATTATCAGAACAACCTCAACAGAAACATGTTGATTAATGCATTCAAATAATTAAATGATGTTGAGTTACAAGGGAGGGGTAGGGGGACAGGATATTCTTGCCTTCTTTGACTGATTAGTAATATTTTGGGAAATGAAAATATACACATAACCAAGTAGTAAATAACCATGCCCAAAAAAGTTATGGGAAATATAGCCATAGAAATTTTAAAAGGAAAAGGTTTTTTAGTTTAGGTTTTTCTTTTTTTTTTTTTTAACCTTTTCGCTTTAATTTGCTGTTTCATGAAATGTCACAGTATTAGAATAAATATAATGAATCCCAAGGAGTCAGCAAGCCTTGTTAGAATTCTTAAATTATGCAGATGAAAGACTTAATATTTTCAAACCTTAAAGATGAGATAATGATGACTATGTTTATTACTCATAAAAGAAAAATACCAGCTTTGTTAAATCAATCAAGCTTATATAATAAGCGAATTTTTTTTTAAGTGAACTTTAAGTTCAAGTTAAGACTGCTCACTGGGAATGACTTACATAACGATTAAACAAAGAAAATATAACATACACTATATAATGTGCATCATTTAAGAAAATGTTAATACCCTTTGGATTGCTGACTTATTACAGCTGCCACTGGATAGTTAGAATTCTCTAAAATAGAAAATCTTAACTATATAAGCAATATCTAAATCTCATGTGGTTATAACAAAAGCATACCTTTAAAAAAAAAATCTGTCAAATTCTGAGTTTAATAACATTGCCAGTATGATCAAACTATATTTTAGATCCTGTGAATTTTTATGCTTATGTAAGTTCCCACAGTTACAAAAAAATTTTGATTTTAAAAAATAACCATCTCTCAAATATGTTATAAAAGCAAATCCTACCTCTTGTATTCTTTTTTTTTTTTTAAGATTTTATATATTTATTTGACAGAGATCACAAGTAGACAGAGAGGCAGGCAGAGAGAGGGGGAAGCAGGCTCCCCACACGGAGCAGAGAGCCCGATGTGGGGCTCAATCCCAGGACCCCGGGATCATGACCTGAGCCGAAGGCAGAGGCTTTAACCCACTGAGCCACCCAGGTGCCCCCTACCTCTTGTATTCTTTTTTTTTTTTTTTTTTTTTTTTTTTTTTTTTTTTTTTTTCAGTGTGAGAGAGAGAGAGAGCGAGCACAGACAGACAGAATGGCAGGCAGAGGCAGAGGGAGAAGCAGGCTCCCTGACGAGAAAGGAGCCCGATGTGGGACTCGATCCCAGGACGCTGGGATCATGACCTGAGCCGAAGGCAGCTGCTTAACCAACTGAGCCACCCAGGCGTCCCTACCTCTTGTATTCTTAACTGGCTTCCACATTGTCATTCTTACTCCATTTGGACAAGATTACATAAATACATACATATAATATTAAATAAGGTTAATCCCTTGCCCAAAACTACCCAATGTTTTCCCATTGCATTTGGAATAAGGCAAACTCTGTAAAAGGCCTCTAAAACCTTCCATAGCCCTACCTATGTCTCTAATCTCACCTCATAGCACTGCACCCACACTCACTAAGCTATGCTTAATGAATGGCCTTCCATACATCCCTCCCAAGTCTCTGGCTCTTTCCTGCCAAGATCTTCCCACATGCTTATTCCCTCTGTTTATCCTCTCTCCTTGCCTGGTATCCTTCTAATCTCAGCTTAATGTCACCTCCCTCACCGTTCACTTGAAAGTAGCTCTGTACTGTGTTCTCTTGAAGCCTCTGCTCAGGTGTCACCTACTCTGACCATATTACTGAAAATTGAAGTCTCCTATCTCCCACTCCATAATCCTGACTCTCTTTAGTTTTCTCCCTAGCATTTATCACTTTCTAGGTTACCATAAAATGAACTTATTTAATATGTTTATTGCATACCTCCTCCTCTAGAATATAAACACCAAGAAGGCAGGGATCTGTGTCTGGTTCACTGCTGGATTTCCAGCACCTAGTACAATACCTGGCACCTGTAAGTGCTCAGTAGCTTCTTCCCTCATTGCACTTGCTGTTTGTATATTGACTTAATGACTCACTGAAAGCTTATAAACTCCATGAGCACAGATTCCCTATATATTTTTCACGACCATATAACCTATGGCTAATGCAATGCTGGGCACATAGTAGGCATTCAATAAAAGTTGTTGTGCAAATAAAAAAAAATCTAAATTTTGTGAGAGGTTAGATTGCTAAGGTCCATGTCAATCATTAAGGTTTGTGATTCTCTTACAGTCTCTTTAAAGATGAAACAGATACTCTACTAACCAACTGGCCCATATATAACATAAACAATTATTGAAAACACAAGGATAATAATCCTTGAATTCTTTCAATACCAAATACTCACTGAAAGTTTACTCTAGGGGAGCTGTTGCCTTCGGCTCAGGTCATGATCCAGCCCCAGGTTAGGCTTCCTGTGGGGAGTCTGCTTCTCCAACTCTCTCTGCCTCCTACCCCCTGCTCATGCTGTCTCTTTCTCTCTCTCAAATACAGAAATAAAAACCATGAGAGAAAGAAGTTAGTTAGTTCTCTCTATCCCAACCACCAAGCTAGTTGCTAAAGATAGAAAAATGAAAAAGAGGCGCATTATCCAAAGTCAGCAGAGAGCTTCCATTCTAATAGGGGAATTGGATAATATGCAAGAAAACAAATAAATAAAAAATATAAATGGGTGGTTGAACCTGCATTAAATAGGAAAGGCCTCTCTACAGAGGTAAGAACTGAGCTAAGACCTGAAAGAAATGAAGGAGCCAGATATTTGAAAAGCTGAGGATAGAACATTTCAGACTGAGGCAGCAGCAAAGGCCCTGGGATGAAAAAAATAGTATCTGTCTGCCTGGAAAGTCCTGAGAGAGAAGTGAGAGATGGGCTGAGATGGAAGAGGCAGCCAGGGCCAGATGCTCAGACCCTGGAGGACAGAAGGAGTCTTAAATTTATTCTAACAGCGATGGGAAGCGATAGAAAGTCTTGAGATAGGAGAGTGGGTGGTTGATTTATAAAGGTTACCCTGACTGTAAAGTGAAGGATAGATTTGAGAATCCAGAGGCTGTGGGGAAAGCACAATCTGGTGGTTTGAACTACAAGGCTGGTGGTGGAAACGGGAAGATAAAATGCTATCTAAGGCACAAGCGCAGAAGTGTTTTAAATATAAATACACATAGCTTAGTAATGCACTTTCCTTGGTCAGTTCTTGGTTCTCATTCTACTTGGCCCATCAGCAGGATTTGCCACTGTTAATCGATCATTCCTTCCTAATTTGAAACGGTTTCTCTACCTAATTCTCTACCTGACTGCCAGCACACCACACACTTACCATTTTCCTCCTACCTCCCTGGCCACTCCTTCTTAGTCAATGTCACTTTCTTATCTCTTGTCAATGTTGGCACACCCGGGAGTTCAGTCCTTGGCCTCTCCTTTTCTCCATCTACACACATTCCCTTAGCAATTCCATCAAGTGTCATGATTTAAATATCAATAATATGCTGACAAGTTGCAAATGTTTATCTCCTTTGACCTCCAGATCAAAATGACCAACTACCAGAACAGTAATAGTTCTGCTTGGGTGTTGAATTACATTTCAATCTTAACATATCTAAAACTAAACTCTAGGGATGCCTGGCTGGCTCAGTGAGTAGAGCATGCGACTCTTGACCTTGGGATTCTGGGTTTGAGCCCCACATTGGGTGTAGAGATTACTTAAAAATAAAAAATATGTTTTAAAAAAGGAAAACTAAACTCTTGATCTGCCTCTTTCCTACCAGAAACCCATTCTTCCTACAGTCTCAATCCTATCCCGGGAGCCTCACACTTGCCATTTTCCCTTGTGGCCGGTTCTTCCTACAGAAATCTTCATCAGGGGCACCTGGGTGGTTCAGTGGGTTAAGCCTCTGCTTTCGGCTCAGGTCATGACCCCAGGGTCCTGGGATGGAGCCCTGCATCTGGCTCTCTGCTTATCAGGGAGCCTGCTTCCCCCTCTCTCTCTGCCTGCTTCTCTGCCTACTTGTGATCTCTGTCTGTCAAATAAATAAATAAAATCATAAGAAAAAAAAAAAAGAAATCTTCATCAGTTGCTACTATAGCTCCTTCTCATCTTTCTCAAAGGCCACTTTTCCCGACTTAACCTAACCACGCTCCCAGCCCCCCCATTTTAAATTTCAACACCATACCATATCTTCCAACCCCACACTCTGCTCTAATATTCTCCCTAGCATTTCTTTCCCTGTAAAATGATTTCTCTACTTGTTTAGTAGCTGTCTGCAGCAACCAAAAACATATGCTCCATGAAGGTACAAATTGTTCTTTCATTAATTTCGTATTTTCCTAGTTCCTAGAATGGTACCTGATATATAGTAGGTGTTCAATAAATAGTTAAATGCATTAATGAGTAACAAATGTAAGTTAAAACTATTTCATCATATTAAACGCATGAATGAGAAATAAAAGTTGAAATTATTCACTATGCTGGTATTCTTTGACATTTGTCTATATTTTTAACTGTTTGTTCTGCGAGGTATTTTGACTGCGAAAGAAAGATGGTAACATCATCAGGAAAGAACCTTGAAAACAGGTAGTTTGTCGCTCTGTAGTAACATAGGGATACAACTCCCAAGAAGGCAAACATATATGCAAAATGAGTACAAAATCAGTAAAAAAAAAAAAAAAAAAAGTGACCCTAACAACAATATAAAAAGGAATTAAAGTATAAAACGGAATTAAAGTGCTCATGTTCACGGCATCAAGAACTAACTTTTTCAAGAACCTAAGCTACCTTAAAGTTATCTCTTTTTCCTCATATACAAAATTCTACCCACAATATGGAAACTTGTGAAACCCCTCAGTGAGTCAAAAATTTATTGGTATGGGGTAGCGTCGCGACTGGGGAACACTCAGAAGGAATGGTGAGTTATGAAACACTTCTGTGTTTTTCTTTTGACCCGAGCAGGAAGCCAAGGTGTACCATTTACCGGGAATTGAGGATCTTAAGAACGATGAGTCTCCACTTCTAAAACTCTGTTTTTATCTCCAGGTCCGCAACTCTGACCCAGCTCTGGCATCACCGTGGGCATCCTCGAGGGCATCTCCTCAGGCCCCAAGAGTTGCCCGTCTCTGGCCGGCGCCCTCCCCAGCGCCCTGCCTCTGCTTACCAAAGCCGGTGGAATTCATGCTTCTGTTCCTCCGTGATCGCTAACGCCTTCTTTCTCTTCATAAAGCCTAGTAATTCCCGGATTTCCCTCTCGCAGGAGGCCAGGAGCGGGTTTTTAGCGTCCAGTGGCCCATAAAACACAGCAAGGGGCAAGGAGTTCTCGAGGCAGGCGGAGCGCGGCACTGGGCTCGGGGAGCTGTCCTTCGACTCCAGGGGCGACTTCGAGAGTGCGTTCGAGGTGGGGGGCGGGGTCGGCGGCGGCCCCGTTGGGGACAAGGATGTGGGAGACAGGGTGACGGGAGAGGTCGAGGAGCTGTCTAGCGCCGCCATATTGAAGAGACCCGGACCGGCTTTAAGTGTACGGACACGCGGTTGCCTGGCGACCGTCTCGGGGCAACCAGGCTTCCAGCGCGCTTTCGGGAAAACACAGCGGCCCCTAGAGGGCAAAAGGGGAAAGAACCCGGTCCGGAAAGAAACCACGCTCTGGGGGCTTGTTTGCCCTCTCTTCACCCGCACTGCTGTATGAGAGAAGAGAGAGGTTTTGTACAGAAAGCCGGCAAATAGCAAAAGCAAAAACTTACGATTACAAATTCAGACTATATTCGTTTTCCATTTCGGCTACTTAATGATAATAATGATCATTAATATGTGTATGTGTCAGGCATTGTTCTAAGCATTTGAAACAATCTCATTTAATCATAACACCTTTACCACCTAGGGTATTATGAGAATCTCCATTTCACAGTTTAAGAAACCAAACTTTACTGACCAAGGTCAGAATAAACTGTAGTATCAGGGACCAGATCCCAGCCTTCTGACTCCAAAGCCTGTGCTCAAAATGAGTAAGTTTCCCAAAAAAAAAAAAAAAAAAAAAAAAAAGCTTACCAAATCAAAATTAGGAAAATCTGACAACCAGTTTAAGAATCAAGTACACTGGGTGGGGGGGGCGGGGGGAGCGCAGGGGGCGCCTGGGTGGATCAGTCAGTTAAGCCTCTGCCTTGGGCTCTGGTCATCATCTCAGGGTCCTAGGATGGAGCCCCACATGGGGCTACCAGCTCAGCGGGGAGCCTGCCTCTCCCTCTCCCTCTGCAGCTCCTGGGGCTTGTACTCTCCCACGCTCTCTCTCTCTCAAATAAATAAATATGATAAAATAGAAAAGAATTAAATACATGCAAATGATCCATTCTCTTCCCTCTATTTGTACCTTGAGGTCTGTAACTATGGAAATGATGGCTGTGCCTAACAATTAGGGTTACATTATAGTTCTTCACTGGTATTTCATCCTTATTCTAATTATCACTATATTCTAAATTAATAAGCATTTCATTCAACATTAACTGCCAGACATTAATGCATACTGGTGGCCTGAAGTGTTAACTCTCAAAATACATTTGCATTTTAAACAGAGATTTTAGGAAACTTGCTTCCGATAGGGAAACTATAGGCCTTAAGAAAAATATCTGGGGACAAGGGAAGTTCTTTTTTCCCTGCATATTATGGGCAACAGTAAGTTTATTTATTTGCTTACTTAAGGTATAAGTTTCTAACTTTATAAAATATGCAATGCCAAAAATTATCTAAGAGAAAAAACAGAAGTATTTGATGTCTTAGAAAAATAGGTCTCTAACACTGAAAAGTGTTGCTGGTTCTGTCACACATAAGAATAAATAAAGATAATGGCCCTAACACCCTGTGAGCCCAATTTCCCACTTAAGATTAAGAAGCTTATTGGACCACAGCCTGATTTCTTTCAGGTCTGACCTAATTTCTTGCAGGCCCTGTGGGCCTGTGCTAATTTATGAGGCTGGCCTAATATGCCATGTGTACTGTACTCTAATATTCTTTGAAGGAAAGTGATGATGATTTTGCTCTTCAAGACAGGTATTAGGACCCAGAACCTTTTGGCAGGCAGTGAGGTGACTTGTCACCTCACTATAGGAGTTCAATTCTCCACTCAGGATATACAAATCATTCTTTTTTTTTTTTTTTTTTTTAAAGATTTTATTTATTTATCCGACAGAAAGAGATCACAAGCAGGCAGAGAGGCAGGCAGAGAGAGAGGAGGAAGCAGGCTCCCCGCTGAGCAGAGAGCCCAATGCGGGGCTCGATCCCAGGACCCCCAGATCATGACCCGAGCCGAAGGCAGCAGCCTAACCCACTGAGCCACCCAGGCGCCCCACAAATCATTCTTTGATTAAGATTTTATCTTGTCTCTAAATGAGCAGTAAAAATGTTAAGAACTTGGAGAATTTCAGCCTAAAGAAGTAATTCATTCTAGGGATATTCACAAAAAGTATTAATAGATCTTTTATTTTTAAAAAAATTCAGCTTGGTAAATTCTTCCTCTTCTCATCTTCGCCTTGTTCTCATATAACAGACTTGTCTATTTTAGATCAAAAGCTGATGTAATTTGCCTCTGAGTACTACCTATTATACTGATGAAAAAGAAACTGCAGGATAAAATTAAATTAAAGTGGTCAGAGGGGAGGAAGGAAAAAAAAATAAAACAGATGAAGTGGGGTTCCCCCCCACCCCGGTCTGTCCGCTCTCATAAACAATCTTACTAAGGGTGCAGGCACTTACATTTCAATGTCACTGGTAAAAGAAAATGTGACTTATTAAATTCAGATGCTTGAATTATGTATCTTAGTCATAGCATTGCATTTAGTCATTTTCCTCCTTGCAAATACAAAGTTGACAATGCTTCAGTTGCAGTAGTTTTTAAAGGCTTGTCTGAATATTTAAATGGCTGCTGTATTCTGAATCATCATCGTGCTAAGATGGAAGTTTCCATTTTGTTCAGTTTAAATCATATTTGAAACATTTTTTTAACATTTTCAAGGTGTTATCTTTCTTGTAATGAGATGCAGCTATTAGAATATCTTTTCCACTCTCTTGTCACTTCGCTTTATTCTTGCCACTGAACAAATGCCACTGAAAGAATGGAACTCTGCAACTATTGTGTCTGGCAGGGCTAAATCATGTAAATAGCTTCCTTATAAATAATGTAAATTGCTGTTTCCTTATAATTAATGTCTCTGCAGGCTGCATGGATCCTTTCTGCTTATTCAAAAGTCTTTATAATCTAAAATTGCTGTTACAGAAGGAATAAATAAGGTTAGGACTCTCTCTATTCCTAATTTAGTTGTTAATCATTTGGATTGTCCCAAATATGTACCTATATACGGTCTTTAAAAAAAAAAAAAGGCACAAAGATCTCCTTTTCACCACACCACCCAATATAAACGTTTTTGTAAAAAAACTTCTCCATCCTTTCATTTCGTGCAATGCAACAATTTCTTTAGTAAGTCATAAAATGCATAGGTGAAACCACACATTCCTTAGAAGAAGCAGATGACACACAACTAACATGATAAAAAGGTATGCTGTGAAATGTGCTGGGATGAAGATCTAAAACATGCTGCAGGAGTCCCAAGATGAAGCAAGAACTGGAGAAAGACGAGATGACGCTGGAGAAGGTGGTATTTTAGACCTGGACGCTTCCCTGCTCCTCATTAACAGAAAGTCCCTTGCAATAGGGATTTGCCTTTTTACTGTGATAACCCAGCACCCGAGCCTGGAGCCTGGCACAGAGAAGTAGGGCTTAACAAATCTTTGTTGGAATGAATGAATGGAAAAAATTAAGATGGAGAACCTTTAAAAGGATATCACTGATTGAGAAAAAAAGCCTGACTAAGGTACAAAGTTATAAACATACACAGCGAGTCAAATAAATCATCTGCCTAGTGTGGTGAACCAAATACTACAATAGATCCGGGGGCAAAAGGTAAGGCAAAAAGAGAAGTGTGATTAAATATAGTGGATAGTTGGAAGGTGTGCTAAGAAATTTTTACTTAGTTCTGTATTCAGTGGGAAGCCTTAAGTTAGAAAAAGAGTATAATTAAAAACAATAAGGATTAAAAGCCCAAATTCTGGAGCCAGAAAGCATAGTTTGAATTCCCATTTCTTCCAAGTTACTTGACTTCACTATGCTGTGGTTTCCTCATCTGTAAGATGGAGTGAAACAATAATCCTATTTAACTCAGTTTTGTTTTGTTTAGAATTAAATGAATTAATATGTGTAACACCCATAAAATAGGGCCTAGAAGGACTATATAAATGTTTGCTAATATAATTACTCGCTTGGGAACAATCAAAATTTCCTAAATAGAAAAGAATACAATCCACTCTGTATTTTATGTATTTTGGAAGGGGAACTATGATAGCAGAAGAAAAGATGGACTGGAGTAAAGAAGGTGACATCTGGTCTCAGCTGCACAAATCATCACAATGATTATATACCGTGAACCATGAGACAGAAGCGACTAAACTAAAACCATGAAAAGACACTGGGACAGATTCCGTAGGAAACTGAAGTCTGATCAATATAGGAAAAGGAGAGTCACAGAGTAATATGTAATTTACATAATAATTATATAAGTAATATATATGAAATGTATATAAATAGTTGTAAAAATAGTGGAAGAAATTCTAATATGTATTTATTATTCTAACATGTAATGTATTTATGGTCTTGAAGTGAAGCCTTTCCTAAAAGGTACAAAAGTAAAAGACAGAAAGGAAAATACTAATGAATTTGAATACATTAAGATAAATTTTTGGAAGAGTGAAAGTTAGCACAGCAAAAGTAGAAAAGCCACACACTGGAAAAATGTATTTGTAATGCATAACCTACTGTGTGAACACTATGTCAGTAAGTATCAACAGCAGGTTTAGAAAAAGATAGTGCTTGGGTAAAGTAAACAGGTTTACTTATGACAAGCTACCAATGGAATTAAGTGTAGTCAAGATATATAACAAAGAGATCAGCAACATTATCCAGGACAGACGGGAATATCTGTTTCCAAAACCTAAAATCTTCACCTACGGTACACAGTTCTAGATGGTAATATCCCTGCATCTTCCAGGCCTGTGAGGCTTGAACAAATATCTGCAATTCCTCTGGAGATCAGTATTGCTTCTAACTGAAGACTTTGGTGTAGACAGTTACAGATACTTCTGCCTGGCCCTTCCACCCATAACAACTATAAGGCCACAGATTAGGGCTCTGCTAGGTACTAAATCTCCTCTTCAAGGATTGAGATCTGGAAATTAGATGAGGGCCCAAATTTTCATTGCAGCAACTAATATCAAGTTTTTGCTAACTATTTCTTGAATTTTCTGGTGACAGATATTGAGAGCAATTTCGTTGCCTCCTCATCCATCTTGCTCCTATAAAACCATGATCCATTAGCCAACACTGGACAGCCCTGTAGGTAAAGGTACCTTGGTCGTCCCTCTGGCCTGCCTGTCTATTATGGTAATTACATCAGCGGC